TTTGGTGTGTGGGCAGGCTATTGCGTTTGGTGATTCATCCGCATTTCCACCTGCCGTATCTTCCCTCATCTCCTCTTTGTAGCCGGGGGTCTGGACCTTGGTTCCTGTCCCTCCCCTGATCTTCTGGGATTGCGGCAGTCCCGCGGGGATGGTCGAGGTGCCTCGCGTTTGTTTCCCTTCTTTCGAATTGCGCTTGGTTCGTTGGGCAGTGCGGGTGCTACCCAGATTGTTATAAGGCCGTCGGGGGTGTTGCCGCTTATTATTAGCACTCCATGATCTTAAGGTTAGATAGGATGGGCATAGGTCAATGTGCCTATTAATAGACTTGCTGTCTGAGAGCCATGCCTCTCTAAGAAGGCGGCCCCCTTTGGTGTTATCGTTCGCCAATACACTGACGTCACTAAAGTTAAACTTATGGCCTAGATCCACCATATGGGCCCATATTTGGGAGTGACAGTCCCTCCTTCTCACTGCTAATTCGTGCTCATGGACCCTGGTCTTAATGCGTTTAGCAGTCTCCCCAGTATAATTGCATTGGCAGTCCGTACAGTCAATCCTATAGACGGCTGCTGATCTTTCTGTACTGGGGAGCGGGTCCTTAGGGCGCATTATGGCCGCTCGCAGTGTTTGGTTGGGTCTATGGGCCACCTGTATAACAACCGGACAGAACGGGGTGGAGAAAGGAACTTGGATTGTCCACCATCACCTAAGCCTGAGGGGAGATCGGAACATGAAAGCAACCGAAATAACTGGAATTGCCATTCAGCTAATCTGAGGTTGGGAGAACTGGAGACGGACGAGGATAAAAATACAATTAAGAAGAGAAAAAAAGCGCAAGCCAACTACACACGGCTGAACCAATCAGGCCCCGTAACAAGATCAAGGAGCCGAGCGCAAACCTCGGTACGCCTATAAAAAGACTTTCTCATTCTCTGGCACGCCAGCCCTGAGGATGCCGGCAGGTGACGGCGAAAGCTTGGCGCTTTTTAAAACTTTTATAGTTTTAACCTATTAAAAACTTCTATAGTTTTTATTACCCTAGTGTTCATTTTTATATTTTATTATATATATATATATATAATAAAATGAACACCAAGGTATTAATTAAAACTATAAAAGTTTAATTTAAAAACGCCAAGCTTTCGCCGTCACCTGCCGGCATCATCAGGGCTGGGCCGCCAGGGTGTGAGAGAGTCATTTTATAGGCAGATCGAGGTCTGCACTCGGCTCCTCGATCTCGTCACCGGACCCAATTGGTTGGATTGTGCTCCGGTGGTTCGTTTCTTTCTGTCCTTCCTAGCTGCATGTGTATCTTCATCTACCTTCTTTTCTTTGAATTCTAAGGTAGATGAGGAGTTTACATCACCTACCTTAGAATCCAAAGAAAAGAAGGTAGATGAAGATACACACGCAGCTAGGAAGGACAGAAAGAAACAAACCACCGGAGCACAATCCAACCAATTGGGTCCGGTGACGAGATCGAGGAGCCGAGTGCAGACCTCGATCTGCCTATAAAATGACTCTCTCACACCCTGGCGGCCCAGCCCTGATGATGCCGGCAGGTGACGGCGAAAGCTTGGCGTTTTTAAATTAAACTTTTATAGTTTTAATTAATACCTTGGTGTTCATTTTATTTTAGCTTTCGCCGTCACCTGCCGGCATCATCAGGGCTTAAAACGCCAGAGAGTGGGAGAGTCTCTTATAAGCAAGCCAGAGTCTGCGCCCGGCTCCTTGATCTTGTTATCGGACCTAATTGGATAGATTGTACTCCGGTGATCCGTTTCTTCCTGCACCCCTTATCTACGTGTATGTCCTCATTTGCCTTCTTTTCCTTGGATTCTAGGGTGGGTGGGGCAACCTCCCTATCTCTCTGGTTGCCCCCCCCCTTCTTTGATCCATTCTCTCCCTCAGGTTTGTGTAGTGGTTTGCATTTCCCTTTCCTCTTTTTCCAATCCACATCCATGCAGCTATTCTCTCTACGAGTGCTTTCCCTTTCTTCCCTAACGCCTCCCCCTAGTGCCCAGTTGTTACTAAGATGGTCATGTGTAACATTCTGGGCTGCCTGGGTTACAGCAGTAAATTGGGGTAGTTCGGTAAGCTGTTTATCCATGTGATAAGCCTCGTAAGTATGGTCATAGTCATCATGCCCCTCAAGCACTCATAGAGAGAATAGCTGCATGGATGTGGATTGGAAAAAGAGGAAAGGGAAATGCAAACCACTACACAAACCTGAGGGAGAGAATGGATCAAAGAAGGGGGGCAACCAGGGAGATAGGGAGGTTGCCCCACCCACAAGATGAAGCACCTACAAATTCTAGAACAGTGGTTCTCAACCTGTGGGTCGGGACCCCATTTGGGGTCGAATGACCATTTCACAGGGGTCGCCAAACAACACAGTCCGCCATTTTTCCCCCTTTTCCTTAGCTGTGCTACTCCCTTTTATTCTATTGGCTTTTGAAAGCCAATAGAATAGATTCTCTTGAATAGAGTCTAATTCTATTGGCTTTCAAAAGCCAATAGGAATTGTCCAGGCTGTCTCTGCCCTGCTGAGCCCGCCAAAAGTCCCATTCTGCAAACGATGCTGCAAGTTGTCTGCAGCGAAGGCGAGCTATCTGGAATTTCCACCCCTCCCTGCTGAGCAACTACTAAAAATATAAGTAAAAGAGGGCCAGGGGTGGGAGGTGGGAGGCCAGTGAGCACAGGGAGGGTTGCTGGCATGCATGGGGCCCGGCGGGTGCCTTACCTCCCTTGGGCTGGGCCAGCTGGTGGCCCAGCCGGTGGTTGGCCTGCGCCGTCTCTGCCGCTTGCCAGCTACGCCTCAGCCGGCGCAGGGGGTGGCACCACGCATGCGTGGCTCTCCCGGGCAGGGAAAGTCCTCAACTTACGATTGGTTGAGTAGTACTCGACTTATGACTGGTTGGGTAGTCCTTGACTTACGACCGGTTGGGGGTCACGGCATTAAAAAGGTTGAGAACCACTGTATTAAGTCATCCAATAAGTCTTAAGATGCACTTGAATCTTTGTTTCCTTGGTCCTAGTTAGTTTAGGAAAACATGCATAATTTTTTATGCATGAAGAATGCATAAATATATAGAGAGAGAATTGATCAGTCCTGTTCCTCTGTTCCCCAATTAGGTGATGATCTTTGAACGTTGAAGGTCCACTCTATTTTCTCTAATGATCTCTTAAAAATTCTTTGCAATGAACCTTTTTTCTAAAGATAAAGTATTGCATATAATAAATGGTGGTTCTTACATCGCTCATATTATAATCCTAATACAATGGAGTAAGTTCTGAATGTAAAACATATTGGTCTAAAGACCCAATACCAGATGATGATGATGATGGAATGTTTCCTGCTCAGGCAGGAAACCCTATACCATTTCAGACAAATGGCTGTCCAGTCTCTTCTTAAAAACTTCCAGTGTTGGAGCATTCATAGCTTCTGGAGGCAAGTTGTTCCACTGATTAGTTGTTCTAACTGTCAGGAAATTTCTCCTTAGTTCTAGGTTGCTTTTCTCTTCGATTAGTTTCCATCTATTGCTTCTTTTCCTGCCTTCATGTGCTTTGGAGAATAGCTTGACTTCCTCTTCTTTGTGGCAATCCCTGAGATATTGGAACACTGCTATCATGTCACCCCTAATTCTTCTCTTTATTAAACTAAATATACCCAATTCCAGCAACCGTTCCTTATATATTTTAGCCTCCAGTCCCCTAATCATTTTTGTTGCTCTTCTGTGTATTCTTTCTAGAGTCTCAACATCGTTTTTACATCGTGGTGACCAAAACTGGATGCAGTATTCCAGGTGTGGCCTTACCAAGTCTTTGTAAAGTGGTATTAACACATTACATGATCTTGATGGTTCATCCTGGCTACAAGACTAAGCCCTTTCCACAACAGACTCAGAAAGTATTTCATGGTGCTCTCTTTATTCATATGAAGATGGTCTAAACAGGAGTCACCACTAACAGTTATGAGTTATTTTTGGTGGAATTTTTCTAACCAAGGCTTGATGGTCATCTGCCAGAGATGTTTTGGTGGATCATGTATGGAGCAGAAATTTGGACTAATTGGTCTCCATGATCACTTTCTATTCTGGGATAGTAATGGAATAGAAGAATGACCAGATAACAGAGAAGTGAGAGCAAACCATTCAGTTGGTGGCTTATCTCATTCAAGGTGATCTCAGCCAAGATGACAAGAAATATGGGAAGCATTTGCAAAAACACTGCTTTTTGTTTTTCTTCAAAGTGCACACCAAGTAGTTGACATTGACAGTAGTGGGAACAATGAGACAAGTTTAGGTGGAGCAGTGGAGCCAAAGAGAGGACCAAAAGGGGGCATATTGGAAGGGGGGAAATAGAAGGTTGCACGGAGTCAAGGCACCCTTGTGGTTGTTAAGCGCAAGCAAGTTGCCAAGTTGCTGAATTTTGATCATCTGACTCCAAGGTGCTGCAATCGCAATAACTTTGAGCATAGGTTATAAGTCACTTTGGTCAGCACTATCAAAACTTTGAACATTCACTGAACTAACGGTGGTACATTGAGCAACAAACATATGTTGTAACCAAAGAGAGAAATGTATATACAATATAAATGTATTTATAAAGAAGATGGGTTTTCTTAAAACTCAGAAAGTTGGAAATTAATCAAACAGGACATAAGAATAAATTAATCTTGGAGAAAACATGTCACATATGTTTGTAATTGCTGAAACATTCTGATATCTTTTCAGATCAATGACTTATACTGGAATCCAGGATTTTCTTTCCTTTCTGCTTTATGATCATAAGATTCAAACAATATTACCCAGATATTAGATCATTATTAATGGTTCTCTTTCAAAGAAGATCAAATTATTATCTTCACTAAATTTGTCACATAAATAATCAGAACTAAAAGAAAATATTTTATTAAAATCAGAGTCACTCATTATTCAGTGAGAGATTTTATTTCCATTTCCATACATGAGAGTTTAACACATGCATTTATACATGCCAAGAATGTACAGTGTTGGAAAAGTTGGCAGTGTTAAAACGCAAACTCTGTTTATACTCTTAGAAGAGGATTACTAATTCTATTTTATACTGGAAATACATGTAGCCATGATTTAATAGTCAGAAATGCTTTTTCTTTACAAATTGCTCTTTGCTATTCAGCTCAGGCCTCAGCAAAATAATGTAGCATTTGGGGAAAAAGATACTTCCCAATAACCCAGCACTGGAAGCTAAGATGGAGAAGATCTCCACAGCTACCATATACTTTCCTTTGGTGCTCAAATAAGTGGGAACAAAACTTAACCAAACACTACAAAACATCAGCATGCTAAAAGTGATAAACTTGGCTTCATTGAATGTGTCTGGCAGGTTCCTAGCTAGAAAAGCCACCATGAAGCTGACCAGAGACAGAAACCCCATATAGCCCAAGACAAGATAAAACATCACAACAGACCCTTCATTACATTCTGCTAGGATCTCTTTAGTCATTGATTTCATATTATGTTCTGGAAAGGGGGGAGAGGTGATCATCCATGCCAGACAAATGCCTGCTTGAATGAAGGAGCCAGAAAAAACAATTAAGAAGGACAATCTTTTCCCCAACCATTTTCTCATGCCAGACCCTGGTTTGGTGGCCATGAATGCTACAATGACCATGATAGTTTTAGCCATCACAGAAGAAATGGCCACAGAGAAGATAATGCCAAACACGGATTGTCGGAGGAAGCAAATCAGTTTGAGAGGTTTTCCAATGAAAAGAAAAGAGCAGAGGAAGCAAAGCAGAAGGGAGATGAGAAGCGTGTAGGTGAGATCCTTGTTGTTAGCTTTAACAATAGGGGTATCTTTATATGTAATAAATATTCCAAGTATGTATATAGCAATAATTGAAAATAAAACAGCAACCACAACTAAACTGATCCCTAAAGGTTCTTTAAAACTTAGGAAAGTTATGATTTTGGGGATGCATTGAACCTTGTCCTTACTCGGATATTGATCTTCTGGACATTCAGAACAAGCAATTATGTCTGCAAGTAAGAAGAGAGGTTATAAAGTATGGAATCTAATCATCATGACTGATGTAGCACCAAGTGATTAATATATATATATAATCAAATGATCATGCTTGGCTTTTTTCTATGGGAACGAAAATATGTAGGGATATATATTTTTGACTGTCTATCATCTATACACTTATCCATCTACCCATCCGTCCGTCCATCTATCTGTCCATCCATCCATCCATCCATCCATCTATCTATTTAAGAAATTTATATAGGTGCCCATTTCACTAAAAACACCTCAGGCAGTGCAGAACAATAACATAAAATAACAATATAAATAATCGAAATATAAATAGCCCAAATGTAAAATTCCATATCAAAAGATACAGTAAAAGATATATATATAAAGCCTAGAAGATAAGAGGGATAAAAATTACTACTTCAACAATATAACCATCTCAGTAAGTCTCTACTACCTTTGGAACCTCCCACCTTGTAAAATAATCAGATATTGAGTCCTTTTCTGAATATAAAAAGAGATGGAGCTTCCGGATGTTCTTCAGGGGCAGCCCCAAGTAAAGGACATTATAGTAGACCTATCTGGAAGTGATTAGGACATGAATGAATGTAAGTAGAGCCTGCCAATCCATCCAGAAGAACAATTGCACACAAGATGAAGCTGTGCAAAGGCCCTTTTGGTCAACACTGTGAATTGTTCATCAAGGAGTTATGAGTCCAGGAGCACCCCCAGATTGTGCATCATGTCTGCCCAGGTAGTACAAGCTTATCCAGTGGCAAAAATGGCATATTCATGGAACCAGGAAAGGATCCCCCAAATTCAAAGCCACTCAGTCTCTCCAGGATTCAGCAGAAACCTATTGTTCACCCTCCTGACATTCACAGCCTCCACCCACTGGAATAAGAAGGTCACAAAACTGCTTTTATCTAATAAGTGTTGGGCAATTTCATCTGTTCCCACTGTAAGACATTCTCTGTTCCCTCCTTACCCAGGAGGTTTGGGGGAGCAATCTGTGGATGCAGTAAGGAGAGAGAACTACTGGAACCTCACCTTCCTTACTATCAGAAAATAGATCTTAATAGAATTTATAAACCATATTTGGTCCAACTCATCCTTTGCTGAGCGCAACCTAGATGACCTTTCTCCAATTTCATCTCCCTAAGCTTCTCCAGAAACCACAAAGAGTACTGTGATTCTTTAAAGGAGAAAGATTGCAGGAGGAATATCCAATCCAGAGCCTCTATCTAACATTCTTTTTGTTCATTTTATGAATTATTTGAAAGTTTTTCACTCTGGTATTACCCAATTTCACATATTCTAGAATAAGAATTGGCATTAGAATAAACAAAATAAGCAAATCAACTACATATGTAGAAAAAAAAAGTAATTCTCTATTTGGACAATTTTGCAGTGAAAAAAATATAATATTATGACAGTGCAGTGTATAGTAATGTTAATTAAAATAGATTATAATTTACCTGGCATGTTTGACATTTTTCCAACAGAACATGGATCGCAATCATAACAACAAAATTTCTGCCCTTCTTTTTTCTTCTTCTGATAGCCAGCAGGACAGGGATTATTACACACTGAACGGGGCAAGACCTGTTGATAAACCAGGATGGAATTCAGGACTGAAGATTTAAGTAATCCTGGGCAGTTGTTCCTCTAATCTACTTACACAACTAGTGTAGCAGAGGTCATAGGATTATAAGATGAAATGCCACATCTGGAAATCTCTATAATATTTGCTAAATATTGGAGATGTTTAATACCCAATGTATTTCCTCCCTTGCCCTCTCTGGATTAACTGAAATAAAGAAGAATTTGTTTAAAAATGCATGATGTAAGCCTTGATACTTGTTTAGTAAAAGGAGACAACTAATAAGAAATCACCACCTTAAGTGTGCTTCTGAGCATGAGCTCCAGGGATTAAAGTTGAGTATTTTCCTCCTACTCTTTCTAGTTGATGGACTTTGGGATAAAAATGAGGATCCTTTTTTTTTTACTTTTTACCCTATTATTCATACAACTAAATCAGAAGCTTTGTTTTCTCAACCCCAATAAAGCCAAGATTTACAACATTTCGTAGTCCACTGATTCTCAAAATTCTTATGACCAGTCAAACATGAGAGGGAGCACTTTTTATGTTCTTCTGAATTGCTTTTTCAGAATCAGGATAGACTTTGGAGGTCTTCTAGTCCAGTCCCTCTGCTCAAGCAGGAGTGCCTATATCATTTCAGACAATTGGCTGTCCAGTCTTTTTAATATTTATTTAATTGTTCTGGATTTTATTTCACTGTTTTCTTGAGGCTGGAGTAATAGCCAATTTCCCCGTCTTCCCTTAGAACAGGGGTGTCAAACTGCCGGCCCATGTGCCGGATACATCATGCCGAAACTGCGCCCACCCGATTGCCAGCAATGAAAAAAAATTCACAATACGTCACAACACGTCACATGACATTGTGAGTTTGACACCCCTGTGTCAGAAGTAAGTCTTCATCCTGGTTCATCCAATCAAGGAATAAATAAGCAACATGGCGACTGCTTTGGGAAGAAGGTTACAGTTTATTGGAGAAGCAGAAAGATGGTCCTTGCAGGAAAGGGCAGAGGAGAGGAAAGAGGAGTTGAGCACATGGGCAGTAGGTTTTTATACCCCCTCTAGCCTAGTTTGGAATAGTTTCCTGTTCCTGTGGCATGAACCTTGAGGTTATTTCTGAGTGTTTTTCTAGGCCTTGATATCTGGGGTTTAATCCTATTATCATATCCTGCTTCCCAGGTGATGGGGCTAATGACTCCTAGAGTTTGGGTGGGGCATGTAGATCTTCTCTTTGTCTTCTTGAGTGCTCTGGCTTCAACTCTCTGATGGTTTTACATCTGCATTTGTATGGGGCTAGCTCTTGCTTGGGGCAGAGAAATAGATTTGGGGCCAGGTTTGGTTTTCAAAAGTCCTTTTGAGGAAAAATATATTTTTCTGCCCTTTTAATATTTCCTTCTCTGGGCTAACTTTCCTCACCTGCCTTAGAAAGAAACCCATATAAATTATTTGCCAATTATGATTTCTCCAGAGCAGGAAAAAAACAGCAATACTTTTAATACAGAATGCTAAATTTGATTAAAAGATCAGAAAGTAGGCTGCACAATCAAACTCATCTCTGAGCTACAAATCCAAAATAATAAAATAGCTCAAAATCCATACCCTCTGAAAATATTTGGGCCACACAATTAAATGTTCCCGAATCACAAATTCATTCCCTTCAAGTGCTTTGGGATCCATCTTTCCAATTTTCACTTTACGATAGGAGTTGTTTGGAAACATGACCACATTTGTAATATCAAATCCAGAAAGCACTTCTCCATGGTGGTTGATAGACACAGTTTCTTCAAGTGAATTATTGAATGAAAGGCCTTGAAGGAACCAGTTAAGCTAAATCAAAATGAAAGGGAATATATAAGATGAAATAAAGCAGTGGGTGACATGAAGATTTCCTGAAGTGATCTCTGTAAAAATAAAAATAGCATTATTTAACTTCCCAGAACTTTTTCTTTAGAAAGAAATAACTGTGAGCTGGAAGTGGAGGATGTATGGTAAAATAATATATTTTATTCAAAGTGAAACCATCCTTAAATCAAAAGAAGACTTGGAATCAGAAGGACATGGCCACCAGTGATGTACCTAGTTACAGTTTAAAGATTTATTTTAGATAAGAAACTTTTTTGATTTTAATGTAATGTTGGATCAGTAGGAAAAAAATGTTGACCAAAGGATTGAAATACACATTGAATTATAATCTTAAAGAGAAGTTTTATAAAATGATGTAATGCCAATAAATTGCCCATCTCCCCCTTTTCCCACTGTCTTTGTTTCTATTCCTAATTTATATTAAGAAAAACCCTTTTAATGAAAATGTGTTTTTAAAAAGGATTGAAATACACATCGAATTATAATCATAAAGAGAATGTTTATAAAATTATGTAATGCGAATAAATTATCCATCTCCCCTTTTTCATTGCCTTTATTTCTATTTTTATTCTGTATTAAGGAAAAAAACTTTTAATGAAGATATTTTTAAAATAATTAAGTATGATTATCATTAAACCATGACACATGGCATAACACATACTTGTGAGCTTTTACAAGAGAGACAAATCTGGGGCATCTGTTACCACTATTGTGGCTTGTAATTTCTCCCAATTTATATTCTAGTTGTTTGTCTTGTCGGTACTTTGATTTTATTTATTTATTTGTTTATTTATTTATTAAAATTTATAGGCCGCCCCACTCCCGCAGGACTCCGGGCGGCTAACAATAAAAACACAATATAACTTAACAAGACAAACAATACAGTAACATTCATCCAGGGGTCAGATTTTATAAACCCCAGGCCTTCCGGAAAAGCCAGGTCTTAAGCAGCTTGCGGAAAACCAACAGGGTGGTCTGTTCCAACTAGCAGTCAGAAAAATGATGAAAACTCTTTAATTTTGCAACATATGGACAGACTTAACCATAGTTTCACCTGAAACTGTGATCATCCTAAACCAAGCCAAGTCCAAAAATGCTAGAAGATTCCTGGAAGCCTGGCACTATGACTTGTCCATCAATAGACATACGGACATAAACAATATCTACAGTACATACTGTGCAAAAGAAACAATCAACAAGCCAAAAGGGGAACAAAAAGACCAAAGCCCCTCCCCATCAGCAATCAACATCCAGATGACATAGATTAACATCAAGATTTAACATCAGGCCAACAATTTAGAAAAAACAATACCCCAATCAAGGAACTGCCAAACAAGCTAACGCAGTGTTTCTCAACCTTGACAATTTTAAGGCATGTGGACTTCAACTCCCAGAATTCCACAGCCAACATTGCTGGCTGTGGAATTCTGGGAGTTGAAGTCCACATGCCTTAAAATTGTCAAGGTTGAGAAACACTGAGCTAACAATAAACAGTCCAATCAAAGAAATTTCAAGACTACTCCCGCCAACATTGATAGAGCAACCCAATGGAATACAAATAGAGAGCAAACCCCTTACTACCACTGGTTGATGTTACCTAGCTTGGGTAATAGAATGTCTTGCAGAATGTCTGCAAGAAAACAACCAAGTTCAAAATCCCTCAGAGAATGAATCCCACACTTGTGTCAAACCCATCCAGCACTGAACATCTTCACCCAATATTGCTGGGGATGGCTAAGAAAAGACGTCACTCACAACAGTGTGAACTGCTTTGTGGTAGTAAATCATATCACTGCCTTATTTGAATGAGGAGAATCATGTCAACATTCATCATCAGCCTCTTTCCAAGTAATGAGTAAAATCACTTTCCTCCACTGCCTCCTCACTAATTTAAGAAAGAAGAAGCTTAGTGTACATGGTACTAATCTGCTCCTGGCAATGAAGACATTTGATTCACAGATTATTACCTTCCAGGTGCCTTGACCTTGAAGTTCTTCTCTTGTACTCTCGGCTAGTCGTTTGTATTTAGACTTAAATAAGTTCATGCCATGAACAGCATGCACTAGAGCATAGACTGCATTGTAGATACTGTAGCTGTGGCCAGTCATTTCAAATAAATGCTGAGGAAGGGTTTTCAATTCTTCCCTTCCAGTACATGCTCCATTATTTTCCACTGGTTTATTGCTTCCTGAAAAGGAGCAATCAAAGCCTTGTTCCCAGAATTCTTTCAACAAACTACCTCTTTGGGTCTGGAATGGCTTGATAGCCCCAAGGAATTCATCAAACCCTGGCAGTTCATTGGCATGAATATCAAAGGAAATTGCTCCATCAAACACTTGCAGATCTGAGGGTCGATGAAGACTTGTTAAGACTAGATCCATTTGAGCTGTCAGAATCCACATCTTCCCACGGCTTACCTCTATATATTTCATAAAGGTAAACAGAAGGATTGCTGTGATACTTTCTCCGTAGAAGGTGAATGTATTCACTTTGGGGTGGTTCAAATAAAATTGTATCCTGTACACTATATCACCTTGAAACATAAATAAAAATGCTTGTTTGGGAAACCTCTCAACAAAGGCAGAGCAGATTCTGTTCTCAGACAGAAGTGGATCCAAGGCTTGGAGGAAATTGTCTCCACTGTCATCATCCAGAATGAAAAGGCCAACCCACGTCCATCCAAAATGCTTCAGCAAATGGATTATCCCCACAGTCTGAAGGGTTTCATTGGGACCCATGCAGTAAAAAGAGGCAGACATCTTTGTTCCATGTTTCTTGGGAGCAAATGAGCCATAGGCAAGCTAAAATAATATGTGCAGTTGGTTATGGTTGGAATGTCATGACTCAGTTGAGAAAGGTACACAGATTGTCTTACAACAATTCATTTAGTGACCATTCTAAGTTGCAACAGCACCAAAAAAAGGTGACTTGTGACCATTTTTCAAACTTACAACCATTGCAGCGTACCCGTGATCACCTGACCCAAATTCAAAGACTTGGCAATGACTCATATTTATGATGGTTGCAGTCAGTGGTGGGATTCAAATACCTGAACAACTGGTTCTCTGCATGGATGCAGGCCTGGGCCTCCAAGGCCTAGAACAGACTTCCAGAAGTGGCATCCATGCACTTCTGGTGGGCCATTCTAGGAATCAGTGTGCATTCAGCCAGTTCTCCAAACTCAACAAAATTTAGCTACCGGTTCTGCTGAACCAGTGCAAACTGGCTGAATCCCACCACTGGTTGCAGTGTTCCGGGTGATGTTATCTCCTTTTGGGGAAGCCAGATTCACTTATGTAACAACCCTGTTACTAAATTAACAAATGAAGTGATTCACTTAACAAATGTGGCAAGAAAGGTCATACAAGGGGGAAAAAAATCACATAACAAATATCTCATTTAGCAGCAAAAACTTTGGGTTCAGTTATGGCTGTAAGTTGAGGACTACCTGCATTTTCTTAAAGTTCATGCAGATATGTACATTTTATCTAAGCCCTTTTCTTGGGCGAGCTTCTATTTTCAAATCTATATAAAGCTTTGACCATTATGATTGCTATGCATTAACTGCTAAATAAATGGAACACTATCTATGTCTTTATTAAATTCATAGTCTGCTTTTTCTCCAGGCATTCAAGCAGAAATATGCAGCATTCTCACAAACTGAGTAGATTTAGCTGAGTGAGTGTGATGAACATAATCACAGGTAACATCCAACTTTTTAACAAGTATTTCCAATGTGGTGCATCAGATATGCCTAAATTCCAACTCCCAAATCCTAGGCTTTTTAATGCATTTTTAACACATAATCTTACCCCTACTTGGGAAAGATTTGTTCATCATTTCTTTCAGTTTTTCCATATGGATGGTTTCTTGATATACATGTATGTGTGTGTGTTACCTTTGGGATTTTATAAAGACTTATGATATCTGACATGAAGTATGAGATATCAGCACCAAATCTTTTATTTATTTCTTTGTTAGTTTCATATCCTGCCCTTTGCTCAAGCACAAAAAAGCATATATACAGCACTCTAAACAACAATTTGGGTTGAGATAGGCTGACGGACACAGTCCCCCATTAGTTTCCATGGATCAAATTAATTTACACCTAGATCGGAACTGCAAATTCTCACCTTCTGCAATGTGATGCTTCAAATATAGCTCAATTTTAACTCCCAACTTTCATCAGGATTTTTGATGCATCATTCAAGTAGAATCTAACCCCTACTTGATAAATGATCATTTCCAATTCCCTATAATTTTGCCCTATGGATGAGTTTTCATGCATGCTAATACATACATCTTACCTGTGGGATTTTATAAAGACTTATGATATCTGACATGAAGAATGAGATATCAGCACCAAATCCCCCAATAATGGCCACAACAAGATTCTCCTTGATATCACATCTGTAGTTGACAACCAAGTGATCAGATCGGAAGAGCAGTTCCAAAGTGGAACGATAAGTCAGCCGGGCATCAAAATAGTTGTCAGAGATGAAAAATCCCAGGGTAACGTTAGACAAGAATGTTGGGTTTGCGTTGATTTGTTTCACTGCAAATGCCAAAGTCAGGGAATGCTGATAAAGCTTTAAAATGGCTCTGAAAACACAATTGAGGGATAAGTGAAATACAGGTTGATTGAGACAAGAAGAATATATTCCAGTGAAGGAACAAAAACAATCGTAGTATGAAACTTGCAAAATGTAACAGGCACCACATATAAAACAAATGAAGAACATTTGATGCATCATGAAACAAGATCTACAACTGCATTAACTTGAAGAAAAATTGTAGAGGAAGAATGCAAGTAGATTGATTGTTCATTTTCTTATATTATTAATGCAAGGACCAGCTGAAGCCAGAGGGAATTCTTTGAGTTCATTTTTATAATGTCCTATTTGTTCTTGGTAAATCTTACCTCTTGTTTGCCCTTATCCTCACATAACATTTCTTATATTGGTTTGCTATCTTGTCATACTTGTATCTAATTACATCAATGTCACCTCTGCTGATGTTTTAAATGAACATCTGTGACAAATGAGATAAACCCAATTGCATTACTTTGGCCAGGCTGATTAGAGTTTCTTCTACTTAAGGAGAACTCTTCAGATCACTGGAGACTGGACTGTCACTTATCTGAAATGGTATAGGTTCTCCTGCTTGAGCAGGGGGCTGGACTAGAAGACCTCCAAGGTCCCTTCCAGCTCTATTCTATTCTATTCTATTATTCTATTCTATATCTCAACAGTCTCAATGGGGATTTAGAATATATTGATTGCAGGATTTGATGCTACTATAAATTTTCATCAAGAAAGCTGTAGACTAGATTGGATAGTCAAAGTTATCCTAGATTAAGGCAGTGTTACACTATTTTCATAAAAATACCAACTAATCTCCACGATCGATGCTTTACCTTTTTGCAATTTCCAATTTGGTATCTTTTTTAAGGGTTTGTATCTTTTTTAAGGATTGTACATTGGCAATCTCAAAACATATTTTCACATTCAACATTAAATGAGAAGAGATCCATAGAAATCATATCTCTGATTGATTTTTTTATTGATTTTTTTTTTAAAAAAAATCTCCAACTTGGGATCATATTTTACGGATTGAGATTGCAACACTTCTGGCCAGACTGGCAGTCTCAAAACCTCTGAAAGAGATCAGATATTTGTTTCTTTAAAATATTTTTTTGTTTTCTATCATTACAATTTATCTGTGCTTACTAAACAATGTGTTGTCTGGATTGATTTTGCCTAGTCATACAGATTAAGTTCTTACTCTCTATCCTGTTTTTCTAACCATTGGTAAAATAAGTTCCATGTTTGAAAATACACTGTGTCTTCTTTTCCTCTGATTCTCAATGTAAGTATGTCCATTTCTGCACAGTCCAGTATTTTCTTAATTATCGCTTCCTCCGATGGCATTGTCTCATTTTTCCAGTGCTGTGCAAATATGATCCTCGCTGTGGTTAATACATGTAATGTTAAGTACACATTTTGTTTATCAAACTTTTCTGGAATTATGCCTAGTAAAACAAGTTCAGGTTTAAAATCTGTATGTTTTCCTAACATTTTTTCTAACCACATATGTATTTTATTACAATTTTTTTTCTTTTGCACGTCCACCACAAGTGATAATATGTACCAGGATTCTGATTACATTTCCAGCATTTGCTAGACATGTTTTTAAACATTTTTGCTAATCTGGTGGAAAATGCCATCTATAAAACATTTTATATAAGTTTTCTTTATATGAAGTAGCCATTGTCAGTTTGTAATTTCTTTCCCATAGATTTTGCCATTTCTCTAATTCTATGTTATACCCAAAGTTTTTTGCCCATATAATCATTGTTTCTTTTACTTGTTCGTCTTCCCTTTTTAAATTCAACAGAAAATTATGCAATTTTTTAATCATTTTTTTATCAGAAGTCAACAACATCTGGTCAAACACTGTCTGATCTTTATAAAAGCTGTATGCCTTAACATCTTTGTCGTACCTTAATTTCATTTGCAACAGGGGCCACCATGATAGGATTAGGATTAGGGTTAGGATTAGGGTTAGACCCTGGTCTTCTAGCTCTTGTTTAGATTTTAATTTCCCATCTGTATTCAGAATATCCTTATATGTTTAAATTTTTTCAAATTTAACTAAATTTGGATATGTGAAAGCTTCCATTGTCGATAACCATCCTGGGATTTTCATGTAAATTTTAGGTTTTATCTTTTCCCATACAGATAATACTGCATTTAGGACATCAGATATTTTTGAAAATTATTCTGTTACCTTCAACATTAAAGGACAAGAGATGCATAGGAATCTAACTCTGACTTTGTAAGCCCACATAGATTTTCAAGATGGAAGATGGCATCTGGAGATTCTTAGAAAGAACAAAGATGATTCACTTCGGGTATTCAATTGGCAAGCTTTGATATGGACAATTAAAGCCTGATGAGGATACTGGAATGTGAGTACAAGGAAGGAATTGGAGGTTCCATGTGGGAGATGTGGTGAAGCACTATTCAAAAGACACTGCTCTGTACGTGCAATATTGTCTGAATTGCATAGAAGGTTTTCAGTAATTTTATGCAACAGCTGATTCAACAGCTAGCCAGTCACTATCATGTCCCAAAACCACACACAACAGATCAAATGTCTTGGATCATATTCATGAAAGGAATCCTTTGCGAACTAACTATAGTATAGGTTAGTTAATGAAGGGTCCTCGGTGCTCCGTAAGCTTGTTTGTTTTCTTGCAGATATTTCATTATCCTAACTAGGTAACATCATCAGTGCTAGTAAGGAGTGCTGTTTGCTGTCCGTTTGTAGTCTGGTGTCTTGTCTGTCTGTGTGGGTGGGGGCAGTCTTAGGGATTTTTTGTTGTTGTTGAACTGTTTACTAATGGTTCTTTGGCAGTTTCTTGATGGGGTGCTACTTATTTGAATTTTGGTCTGAAGTTGACCTTGAAGCTAATCTATGCTGATCTGAGTGCTGATTACTGGTGGAGAGGTCTTTTTCTCTTTGGGGCTCATTGATTGTCTCTTTTGCATAGTCTATAGATGTTGTTAATGTCTATGTGTCTATTGATGGCTTATTTGTCAGAGTGCCGAGCTTCTAGAAATTCCCTGGAATTTTTGGATTTGGCCTGGTCTAGGATTGTCACATTTTTCCTAATTGAAACTATGGTTAAATCTGCCTATATGTTGTGAAATTAAAGAATTTTCCTCATGCTTTTTGACTGTCAGTTGGTGTTCATGGATCGTTCTGCCAGTCTTCTGCCTGTTTGTCCTACATAGTGGTGATTGCAGTTCTTACATTGTATGTTGTAGATGACTCCTGTTTTTTTCTTCTGGGGTTGCTGGGTCTTTTGGTTTGCTTAGGAAGTTTTGATAGATTAGTTAATCTATCCACAAAAATATATGCAGTAATAAAATTGGGGGGTCCTTAAAATTCCAAAAGATTCTTTGAGGGTCTGAGGGAAACATTGTCTATGTTTTGGAAACTCTGATTACAAATAAAGCTGGTTAAATATTGGTGTGAAAACTTTGCAATATTCTCTGCTTAATTTACAACAACTTGGGATTTCTCTTTTGTGTGTCTCCAATGACATTGTAGAGGAAGGAAAGGGGAAAAATAATTTACTTACAGAGGTGTAAGAAATGATTTATGTGAAGGATGCTCATCAAAGGAATGTTCCTCAAATACATATAAAATCTGGGCTGTGATCCCACCAATGATGAGGTTTCCTGGCTTATGCCATTCATGAAGTATAGGAGAGGCATCACTTCTGGGGCAAGGTGTGGCATCTGTCTGGCACTTCATGTCAACCAGCAACCATAGAATGATGAGTGCATTCAACATTTTCTCTAGAGGAGTCTTAGTTTTGGCTATCCAGAATCCCACCATTGCATTGTTGTTGTTGTTAATTGCGAAGTCGTGTCCAACCCATCGCGGCCCCATGGACAACAAGATGGAACAAAACCTCCAGGTCTTCCTGTCCTCTACCATCTTCTGGAGTCCATTTAAGTTCACACCTACTGCTTCAGTGACTCCTTCCAGCCATCTCATTCTCTGTCGTCCCGTTCTTCTATTGCCCTCCATCTTTTCCAGCATTAGGCCCTTCTCCAGTGAGTCCTTCCTTCTCATTAGGTGGCCAAAGTACTTGAGTTTCAACTTCAGGATCTGGCTGTCTACAGAGCAGTCGGGGTTGATCTCTTCTAGGACTGACCGGTTTGAACGCCTTGCAGTCCAAGGGACTCGCAGGAGTCTTCTCCAGCACCATACTTCAAAGGCCTCAATTCTTTTGCATATGGTGACATAATTCCATCAAGTTTAAAATGTAGGAATACATTCATCTCACATATGTAATTATATCACTTCTCTTATCCAAAAGGTTGGCATCAACAAGCTGAGCAAAGCATGCCCTGATGGACAAGCACCTTTCAGTAAATGGAAATCCTGACCAGAATCAAAAAGGACAAGAGCCTGCCTACTCTTTCCCCTTAACTGCAGAAATCTCTATCATCTCTATCACACTGAATTATGAATTATTTCTCTGTATTTTCTATAAAGCTGCTTCAGTTGTATCATAAAGCATCAATGATAGTTATTTAGATTAATTGCCAGAAACCAGTCATCTCTACCAAATGGAACCTTCTGGATTTGGAGAGCTATTATTTTACTTTCACATTATAACTTTGGAGACAACCATCTTCTTAGCTTTTTAAGGAGTTTCCACATATATAATTATATGTGATTATTTCTGTAAATTTAATCATTACCCATGGGATTCTTCCCAAAATATATACTTATCTTATGGCTGAAATCTCTACCTTCTTCAAATATATCTCTGTAGGAAACCATTGAGTACAATAAACTTCAAGTGAGTTCCTGAGGATGATGTACTCCTTGTTTTTTTAAAAAAAAATATTATATTTGTTGACCCTTCACCTTCCTTCCTTCCTTCCTTCCTTCCTTCCTTCCTTTCTTTCTTTCTTTCTTTCTTTCTTTCTTTCTTTCTTTTTTTCTTTCTCTCTCTCTCTCTCTCTCTCTCTCTCTCTCTCTCTCTCTCTCTCTCTCTCTCTCTCTTTCTTTCTTTCTTTCTTTCTTTCTTCTTTTGAAGACTTAACCCAGCTGGAGGAGCTTTCATGGTATTCTTCCTTTCTTCAAATTCTGTTAAGTCAACCAGTAAGCCTTATTGTAGACTTGAACCTTCATTTCTTTGATCCTGGTTAGAGTTAGGAAATCATGCATAATCCTATAAGTTCAGCATGCCCTACAGAAATACAGAACAGTCATCCATCCAGTTCTTCTGTTGCCCAGTTAGATGGTGTTCGATCATTCAACATTTCTTGAATATCAGCTGTTTCTCTCTGATAACTTCTTATGAATTATTTGAAATGAACTTTCTTTCTAAAGATAAAATATTTCACACAATAAATCTGATAGTTTGTATGATGATTCCCATACAATAAACTAAGCGTCATGGTTCTGATAGATGAAACCAATAAAACAGAACTCCAAGGATTGAGTTTTTCTTGAAGAACATGTTTATTGGCTATAAAGTATCAGCACAGTCAAAAGTGAAAACAAGACTAAAGTTCCCTCCAAAAAGTTACAGTATTACAAAGTTAAACTCCCCCCCCCATTACTATGCAATCAACTATGTTCCCCAATAGAATAATTTGGCGGGCTTTCTAACATTAGGCTCAGCCCCCCCCCCAATCTAATGAACAGAAATGACCTTGGTTCCCACAGGACAGAGAATTGTTTAAGCTAGAACAAAAATGCCACCACCCTCATCCCAGTCTGGTGGCAATCGAAAATGAATCAAAATGGCTTCATTCAGGTTCATTGCAGAATTGACAAATTAAAACATATTGATCACAAGGCCCAGCATGCAGAGGTCTATCTCTTCTCAAATAATTTCTTTATAAAGATCAGTGATCCAACATTTTGGTAGAATCTTCAAATCTCGTAAAAGGCGACCTCAGTCCAGATAGAAAGAATGCTTTGCATTCATTCAAATAAACTATACTTTAATTAACTCACTATAAATGAGGCTGATTTGATTTACAGTCTCCAAGATTTTATATTGACCCCAGACTAGAAAGAAATATTCTTTACTGAAACCATAGTACTATTATCTTCTTTTGTCCTAACCCCATAGGAGCTCTTTGCAAGGGGGATTTTTCATTTTTCCTCAGTCAAAAGTGCCAAAGCAGGAGCAACAAGAGGCTAAAGCCAAAAGGGAGAGTCAAAAGGGCTTATGCTGTTGGAGGGATCAGTAGGTTAACATGACTCTGTGTCCATTAAGTGGAGGCAGGGTGTGAAACTCCTGAATTCTGATCATATGACCACTGGGTAATGCAATGACCATAACTTTGAGCATGGGTCATAAGTCCCTTCATTCAACACCATCATTACTTCAAACTGTCACTGAATGAATAGTCATAAATTGGGAATTATTTGAATGTTGCAATTATAGACAGAGAAATGTATATTGTACATTTATCTTGGGAATTTACTTTTAATTGCTGTTAAGGAGATTGGAAGCTCTTTTTTATAATATGTTCTTTTCTTTTTTCCCTTCCTTTCCTTTTTTCTCTTCTCTGTTTCAGGAAGATAAAAGCCAGAGTATATTACTCAGATATTACATCTTTTTTATATATATAGTTACACACAGTGTTTTTTAAAAAAAGGTGATGGAACTCACACGTCATATAACCCGCCTTGCCTACCCTACAAAGTTCCATCCAAAAAAGGTGCCAGAACTCTGTTCTGGGTGTTCTATGACAAAAAAAGCCCTGGTTACACATCTCTTTTGAAGAAGATCTATTTTTTTTTTTAAATTGGTCATGGAAATAATCAGAACTAAAAGAAAATACTTGATTAAAAGCATTATACAGTGAAAGATTTTATTTTCCATTTTTGTTCATAAAGAGGAGTTATGGTAACACAATGGTTAGAATGCAGTATTACAATGCCCACTGCCAGCAGTTCAATCCTGACTGACTCAAGGTTGACTCAGCCTTTAATCTTTCTGAAATCGGTAAAATGAAAATCCAGAATGTTAGGGGGCAATATGCTGACTCTGTAAACCACTTAGAGAGGGCTTAAAAGCACTGTGAAGTGGTATATAAGTCTAAATGATATTACTTTTGCTGTTGCTATAATAATTTGACAAACACTGTTATAATATTATGCATATAAAATATTGGTAAAATTGCCAGAACTAATAAGCCTTTTTTTATTCTCAGAAAAGGATTGTTAATTCCATTTCACAGTATAAATATATGCAGCCACCATTTAATAGTCAGAAATGCTTTTTCTTTACAAGTTGATGTTTACTGTTGAGTTCAGGCTTCAACAAAATAATGTAGCATTTGGGGAAGAAAATACATCCCAATAACCCAGCACTAGAAGCTAAAATGGAGAAGATCTCCACAGCTACCATATACTTTCCTTTGGTGCTCAAATAGGTGGGAACAAAAGTTAACCAAACACTACAAAACATCAGCATGCTAAAAGTGATGAACTTGGCTTCATTGAATGTGTCTGGCAGGTTCCTAGCTAGAAAAGCCACCATGAAGCTGACCAATGACAGAAATCCCATATAGCTCAAGACAAGATAAAACATCACAACAGACCTTTCATTACATTCTGCTATGATCTCTTCGGCCACTGATTGCATATTAAGCTCTGGAAAGGGGGGAGAGGTGATCATCCATGCCAGACAAATGCTTGCTTGAATGAAGGAGCCAGAAAAAACAATTAAGATGGACAACCTTTTCCCCAACCATTTTCTCATGCCAGACCCTGGTTTGGTGGCCATGAATGCTACAATGACCATGATGGTTTTGGCCAGTACAGAAGAAATGGCCACAGAGAAGATAATGCCAAACACGGATTGTTGAAGGAAGCAAATCAGTTTGAGAGGTTTTCCAAGGAAGAGAAAAGAGCAGAGGAAGCAAAGCAGAAGGGAAATGAGGAGAGTGTAGGTGAGGTCCTTGTTGTTAGCTTTAACCATAGGAGTGTCTTTATACTTAATGAATATTGCAAGTATGAACGTGGTAATGATTAAGAATAAAGCAGCAACCACCACTAAACTGATCCCTAAAGGTTCTTCAAAAGTTAGAAAAGTTATGATTTTGGCAATGCATCGAACTTTGTCCTTACTTGGATATTGATCTTCTTGGCATTCAGAACAGGCAATCATGTCTGCAAATAAAGCAGAGTCTATGAAGTATGTAATCTAATCATAACGATTGATACAGCACTGAGTATAATATTAGATGAGATCAGTAGTTTTCAAACCTAACCACAAAAAGTCTACACTAGAAATCTCAGAATTTTAGTTTTGGACTTCTCAGATTTGAGGTCCTCCCCTCTTAAAGTAGTTAACTTTGAAAAGGATTGGATTCAATCATTAGATGAGAATAAAGGTAAACTATTTGAGATAGGAATGTTCTGTGTTAGTGGTAATCACACTTACATAGCATCACAAAAGCAATATCCCATAAACTTTCTTCAGTCTTTCCTTCTCCAAATCTTAGGCATGAATGCATATGAGAGATATTTCAAAATGTCAAATGGTAGGCACAAAAATATGATTGAAGCCCTGTCAATTTTTAATATTGCTGCTGAAATCCTGCACATTTTCAAATGATATCATATCTATTACATGCATGCAAAACATGTTATTGGACTTCAATCATATACCGTATATGCCGGCATATAAGACGACTTCCGGAAGCGCTAAACTTGGCGCCAAAGACGGGGGTCGTCTTATACGCCGAGTCATCTTATACGCTGGAAATACTGGTAGTTTCCGGCATATAAGATGATGTTCTAGGAAGGCGACTCGGCAATAAAGACGGGGGTCGTCTTATACGCCGGGTCGCCTAATACGCCAGCATATATGGTAGTCAAACTTTATTTTTTTTCCCTCTGGGCTTCAATCTCCCTTCCCGCCCTCTCTCTTTCTCTCTGTCTCAATCTCCATCTCCCTTCCCTTCCTATCTATCTGTCTTTGGGCCACTTTTACAACCCAAATTGGGCATAGATTTAGAAAATAGGTAATATGATAAAGATATTAAATTGTATGGATTCTATAAAGAGCAGATTATGTTTGATCAAATATCATTAACCTCTGATGAAAAACTAATTAAGAAAATATATAACTTTCTATTGAATTTGATAATGGAAGATGAACAAGTAAAAGAAACAATGATAACATGGGCAAAATTTTTTGGATATAATATAGATTTAGAGAAATGGCAAAGCCTGTGGGGAAAAAAATTATAAAGTGACAATGTCAATCTCTTATAAAGAAAACCTATACAAAATGTTTTATAGATGGCACTTACCATCAGCAAGATTAGCAAAAAATATTTTAAAATATATCAGATAAATGTTGGAAATGTAATCATAAACCAGGTACTGATTATCATGTATGGTGCACATGTGTTAAAGCAAAGAAATATTGGACAAAAATGCATACATGGTTAGAAAAGATGCTGGGTAACCATGTAGATTTTAAACCTGAACTTTTTTATTAGATATAATGCCAGAAAACCTTGATAAAGTATATGTTTGATTTTACATGTGACAACCGCAGCAAGACTTATATTTGCACAATATTGGAAAAATGAAGAAATACCATCGGAGGAAGAAATAATTAAAAAAATATTAGACTGTGCAGAAATGGACAGACTTACTTTGAGATTGAAAGAAAAAGAAGAAACAGAATATTTTCAAACTTGGGACTTATTTTATCAATGGTTGAAGAAGTGAACTAGGGATTAGGAATCTAATTTGTATTAATGAATGACAAACTCAGATAACACATTTGTTGAATAAGCACTGTTGAACTGTATTAAAAAAATCAATAAAACTTATAAAAAAATAGAAAACAAGTGATTAAGCTCACAATCCCAAGAACCCTCTCCACTTCCTCAGCTCCAGCCATTCCTAAATAATCATGCAAGAATTCTCCCCAGGAATTTTCTCTGGACCTGCATCAAGGTCAATGTCCAATCAGGAATAAATCTAAGCAATTGCATCTGACAAATGCAACACAATTTCCTCTGCACACTCCTGCAATATTTTCTTCATGCTCTCCTTACCAGTTGGACTTGTATGTTCTGAAACAGGACTGAGTTTAGGGGGAGGCAATCTGCTGATGCAGTAAATGTGGATATGTACTGGCACTTCACAGCCCTAACATCATAAGGTAAACCTTCATTGCAACTCTAACCCTTGTTTGATCAAGTTCGTTCTTTGTTCAGTGCAGCATTCTAGATCTTTCTTCTCCTGTTTCAATTCTCTCAGATCCTCTAAACCAGACAGAATGCTGGAATCCTAGAGAAGAGAGAGTTGTATGGGCACAGTTTGATCCAGGACCTCTATCTAATGTTCTTTTTCTTCATTTTAAGAATTAAAGCTTTTCTCTGTAGTATTACTGAATTTTATCCAGCCAATTGAAATCTTCTAGTATGAAGATTTAGAATAAATGAAGCAAGCAAATCAGCTTCATATGTAAATAAAAGTAATTTACCATCTGGTGTAGTTTGCAGTGAAAAATGTAATATGCCATAGAGTAGAGTAGAGTAGAGCAGAGCAGAGCAGAGCAGAGTAAAATAGAGACTAATTTACCTGACATGTTTGACATCTTCCCATCAGAACATGGATCACAATCATAGCAGCAAAATTTCTGCCCTTCTTTCTTTTTCTTCTGATAGCCAGCAGGACAGGGATCATTACACACTGAACGGGGCAAGACCTGTTGATAAACCAGGGTGGAATTCAGGACTAAGGATTTGAGTAATACTGGTATCTTCTAATCTACCTGCATATATAAAGTAGCAGAAGTCAGAGGATCATGAAATACAGTGCAGCACCTGGAAATCTCTCTGACACTTCCTAAATAATTCAGTTGGGTTCATCTAAGCCAGTGGTTCTCAACCTTTTTAATGCCGGGACCCCCAACCGGTCGTAAGTCGAGGACTATTCAACCGGTCGTAAGTCGAGGACTACTCAACTGGTGCAGCACCGTTTGCAGAATGGGACTTTTGGTGGGCTCAGCAGGGCAGAGACAGCCTGGACAATTCCTATTGGCTTTTGAAAGCCAATAGAATTAGACTCTATTCAAGAGAGTCTATTCTATTGGCTTTCAAAAGCCAATAGAATAAAAGGGAATAGCACAGCTAAGGAAAAGGGGGAAAAAATGGCGGACTGCGTTGTTTGGCGACCCCCATGAAATGGTCGTTCGACCCCAAATGGGGTCCCGACCCGCAGGTTGAGAACCACTGATCTAAGCTTTCCCTTCCCTTCACCACTCTGGAATTAAAAAATACCCACTGTGAGATTTAATATTTAGCTTTATACAAGTAGAACACAAATAAAAATCACAGCCTTAATTTTACTTCTGAGTTCCTGCTCCAGGAAATTTTAAAATTCTAAAGTTCAGAATTTGCTTCCTATTTATGTAGTTGATGGAATTTTGAATGCCCAATCATAACTTTAGGAGTTAGTTCCTGCCTTAGCAGGGGGTTGGACTCGATGACCTTCAAGGTCCCTTCCAACTTTATTATTATTATTATTATTATTATTATTATTATTATTATTATTATTATTATTATTATTATTATTATTATATATGGATCATCGCACAGTCAGCCAGATGTTCAGACTGGATTTGGCATTTTGTCTACCTATCGAGTCCTTACCCAGGACCTGGGATAGGCAGATGTGGATGTTTGATGGTATTACAGATATCGTCGCAGGATGGAAGCAGTTCCTAATAAGGCCGCCTTTTGCAATTGACTAATAGCGAATTTGTCAATGCCAATGGTGTTCAAGTGGTGCTCCAGTTGTTTTGGGATTGCACCCAAGGAGCCTATTACTATTGGTACTACCCTTGCTTGCTTTTGCCACAGTCTTTCTATTTCTATTTGTAGGTCTTTGTATTTTGTTATCTTCTCCAGTTCTTTCTCGTCTATTCTGCTATCTCCAGGCACTGCCACGTCCACTATCCAGACTTTTTTGTCTTTCTTATCGACAATTGTTAAGTCTGGGGTGTTATGTTGCAGGTGCTTGTCTGTTTGAATTCTGAAGTCCCAGAGCAGTTTAATTTTATCATTTTCTATGACTTTCTCTATTTTATGATCCACCAGTTTTTGCTTACAGGCAAATGATATTTTTTGCAGATCTTCCAATGCACCATTGTTGCTACTTTGTCATGCCGCTGCTTGTAATCAGTTTGTGCAATCTTCTTGCAACAGCTTACCAAGTGGTCCACTGTTTCTTCAGCTTCTTTGCATAGGCGGCACTTACTGTCTGTTGCTGTCTTCTCAATTTTGACTTTGTATGCATTTGTCCTTAAGGCTTGGTCTTGTGCAGCCAGAATTAGTCCCTCGGTCTCTTTCTTCAATTTTCCTGCTCTTAGCCATTGCCAGGTTTTATTATTATCTGCTTTCCCAGCTATTTTTTTCATGTATTGGCCATGTAGTGCTTTGTCTTCCCATGCCTCTATTCTGTTCTTCATTTGGTCTTTCTTGTAGGCCACCTTGGTCTCTCCAGTAGTTAGTAAACCTTCTTGATATACTAATTCCAGTGCATCTTCATCATTGTTCTTCAGATATTCTTCCAAAGCCATTATTATTATTATTATTATTATTATTATTATTATTATTATTATTATTATTATTATTATTATTATTATTATGGATCATCGCACAGTCAGCCAGATGTTTAGACTGGATTTGGCATTTTGTCTACCTATCGAGTCCTTACCCAGGACCTGGGATAGGCAGATGTGGATGTTTGATGGCAGATGTGGATGTTTGATGGTATTACAGGTATCGTCGCAGGATGGAAGCAGTTCCTAATAAGGCGACGATACCTGTAATACCATCAAACATCCACATCTGCCATCAAACATCCACATCTGCCTATTATTATTATTATTATTATTATTATTATTATTATTATCAATCATCGCACAGTCAGCCAGATGTTCAGACTGGATTTGGCATTTTGTCTACCTATCGAGTCCTTACCCAGGACCTGGGATAGGCAGATGTAGATGTTTGATGGTATTACAGGTATCGTCGCAGGATGGAAGCAGTTCCTATAAGGCCGCCTTTTGCAATTGACTAATAGCGAATTTGTCAATGCCAATGGTGTTCAAGTGGTGCTCCAGTTGTTTTGGGATTGCACCCAAGGAGCCTATGACTATTGGTACTACCCTTGCTTGCTTTTGCCACAGTCTTTCTATTTCTATTTGTAGGTCTTTGTATTTTGTTATCTTCTCCAGTTCTTTCTCTTCTATTCTGCTATCTCCAGGCACTGCCACGTCCACTATCCAGACTTTTTTGTCTTTCTTATCGACAATTGTTAAGTCTGGGGTGTTATGTTGCAGGTGCTTGTCTGTTTGAATTCTGAAGTCCCAGAGCAGTTTAATTTTATCATTTTCTATGACTTTCTCTATTTTATGATCCCACCAGTTTTTGCTTACAGGCAAATGATATTTTTTGCAGATCTTCCAATGCACCATTGTTGCTACTTTGTCATGCCGCTGCTTGTAATCAGTCTGTGCAATCTTCTTGCAACAGCTTACCAAGTGGTCCACTGTTTCTTCAGCTTCTTTGCATAGGCGGCACTTACTGTCTGTTGCTGTCTTCTCAATTTTGACTTTGTATGCATTTGTCCTTAAGGCTTGGTCTTGTGCAGCCAGAATTAGTCCCTCGGTCTCTTTCTTCAATTTTCCTGCTCTTAGCCATTGCCAGGTTTTATTATTATCTGCTTTCCCAGCTATTTTTTTATGTATTGGCCATGTAGTGCTTTGTCTTCCCATGCCTCTATTCTGTTCTTCATTTGGTCTTTCTTGTAGGCCAGTTTGGTCTCTCCAGTAGTTAGTAAGCCTTCCTGATATACTAATTTCAGTGCATCTTCATCATTGTTCTTCAGATATTCTTCCAAAGCCATTTTTTCTTCTTCAACCATCTGATGTACTTGTAGCATTCCACGCCCACCTATTTGCCTTGGTAGATAAAGTCTATCAATGTCACTGCGTGGATGAAGGGCATGATTCATTGTCATTATTTTTCTGGTCTGCCTATCCATTGCTTTTAGTTCTGCTTGAGTCCAGTCCACTATTCCAGCTGTGTACCTAATGACTGGGATTGCCCAGGTGTTGATTGCCTTTATGGTATTTCCTCCATTGAGTTTGGACTTTAAGATCTTCTTCACTCTCTTGATGTATTCACCTCTAATCTTTTTCTTGACTTCAGTGTGCTTGATGTTGTCAGCTTGAAGGATACCCAATTTTTTATTTATTATTATTATTATCATCGCACAGTCAGCCAGGATGTTCAGACTGGATTTGGCATTTTGTCTACCTATCGAGTCCTTACCCAGGACCTGGGATAGGCAGATGTGGATGTTTGATGGTATTACAGGTATCGTCGCAGGATGGAAGCAGTTCCTAATAAGGCCGCCTTTTGCAATTGACTAATAGCAAATTTGTCAATGCCAATGGTGTTCAAGTGGTGCTCCAGTTGTTTTGGGATTGCGCCCAAGGAGCCTATGACTATTGGTACTACCCTTGCTTGCTTTTGCCACAGTCTTTCTATTTCTATTTGTAGGTCTTTGTATTTTGTTATCTTCTCCAGTTCTTTCTCGTCTATTCTGCTGTCTCCAGGCACTGCCACTTCCACTATCCAGACTTTTTTGTCTTTCTTATCGACAATTGTTAAGTCTGGGGTGTTATGTTGCAGGTGCTTGTCTGTTTGAATTCTGAAGTCCCAGAGCAGTTTAATTTTATCATTTTCTATGACTTTCTCTATTTTATGATCCCACCAGTTTTTGCTTACAGGCAAATGATATTTTTTGCAGATCTTCCAATGCACCATTGTTGCTACTTTGTCATGCCGCTGCTTGTAGTCAGTCTGTGCAATCTTCTTGCAACAGCTTACCAAGTGGTCCACTGTTTCTTCAGCTTCTTTGCATAGGCGGCACTTACTGTCTGTTGCTGTCTTCTCAATTTTGACTTTGTATGCATTTGTCCTTAAGGCTTGGTCTTGTGCAGCCAGAATTAGTCCCTCGGTCTCTTTCTTCAATTTTCCTGCTCTTAGCCATTGCCAGGTTTATTATTATCTGCTTTCCCAGCTATTTTTTTCATGTATTGGCCATGTAGTGCTTTGTCTTCCCATGCCTCTATTCTGTTCTTCATTTGGTCTTTCTTGTAGGCCAGTTTGGTCTCTCCAGTATTATTATTATTATTATTATTATTATTATTATTATTATTATTATTATTATTATTATTATTATTATTATTATTATTATTATTATTATTATTATTTTATTATTATTATTATTATTATTTTATTATTATTATTATTATTATTATTATTATTATTATTATTATTTTACACTAAAACTAAGTAAGAAGCTCAGCAAAAAAAACCCATCTTCTCAAGCCCCCAAATTATTTAAATAGTATGTAAATTATTTGCCAATTATAATTGTCCCACATCAGGAGATAGATCCCATATTTTGAGTACTTAATTTTAACTGATATTAAAAATATGAAATAGATTCCTTTTTTTTGTAAAAGGTGTATTGATTTTTTACAATAACAACCTTAGTGCCTGGTGTACAGCCTGTTGTCTTGGTTCATAAATGTTTTAGAAAAGAATATAAAATTAATAATATAAACAATCAATAATAATTAATTTTTATATTTCCATAATTAGTATATCAATTGATAATATATTTCCTCGATCTTCTCTTCACCCAATAGTATTATCCTTCTACAACATTAAGCAAAAATAATTTCTAATATTTGATATTTTCCATATTTAAATGATTAAGTAAAAACATTTTCTTCTATATTTATACCAACAATAGTAGGGTCCATATATAGCATTTTTTCTTATCAGCTTATGTTATTTTCATAAGAATCATCTTATTGATTCACCATATATCTTATTTTCATAAATCTTGTTTAAGCTCAATTTCTCCATAATATTCAAACAATATTTAACATCTAAATATCCAAATTTTCTATTTAAATATATCATCCCAGTATTTTCAATTTCATATATTATAGAGATACTATACTACTTATCTATCATAACATCTATCCATAACATCTTTCTATTCAATTTATATTTCACTTCTATTTGTAAAAATTAGTTAAATCACTATATATCCTTTTTTCAGAGTTCTTATTAAGCCCAATTTCCCCTCAATATTTTAATCATTCCTTAATCCTAAATCTTTTCAAACTTAATTTGTCTTTAAAATTCAAACTTTTCCTTCACTTACAACATCCTAATATTTTTACATTTTGTATCTTATCAAAAACTACTATATTATTTTATATCTCTTATCCCATTTATTCTAAAGTCCCTTTATGGCCAAAGTTATTTGCTTATGTTGTCATAGTCAAACAAGTGTTTACTCATATAATATTCCATCTGATAGGATGAATCCAGTCTATTCAGCCCATCTCTAATGTTTTTTCTTTGCCAAATTGTTTTCCAAATTAATATTTTCAACTTGTCCAGTTCTTGTATTTTTGTAGTTATTGTTAGGAGTAGAGGATACATAGTACATAGGATGTATGCTTTTTGTCTCCCAAACAATGATTCTCCTAACAGTGTCTATTTTGTTAAGTCTTCTTTCTTCTCAGGTTTATTTTGACGTTCTAATGCATAAGGTATCTTTTCCATATTTATTATTGTATCCAAGTAAGTTTTTTCTTGTTTGTATTAAGTTATAATTCCCTTCATTTGAAACTTCACCAGTTAAGTCATTTTTTTCTAGTTCACATTCTGTTGTCTGGATTGTTTGTTCATTCTTTACCATCATTCTTTGGATGTTTTTTGATTGTAGATTTAGGTTAGAAGTATATTCACTTATAATATCAAAGTTATGTTTAATCTCCTCATGGTTTAGGTCTATTGTAGTTTGTATCTGTCGTAGCATTGCATAAATTTCATCTTGGAAAGTATTTGTCTCGTCTTGAAGTGTTTCTAAAGGTATTTGATCTTTCAGGCTAAATCTTTCAGGAGTAGATATTAAGTTTGACTTTCTATCATTTTTGATGAGTATGTCATATCCATGTTGTCTCCCTCTTTGAGTAGTCCATCATAAATGCCATAGTCCCTGTAATTATCCTTGTCAAGCTAACCAAAACTCAAAATCCATACAGTCCAATTTTGTATAGTTCTTGTTTTTATATATAATCTGTGTAATCCACTGTAATTTTCAGTTGTCAAGGTTTCAGTAAAATCAATGTTTTATAACAATTCTTTCTTTCAGGAATCAATTGTCAATTCAATATATTTAGCCAACTTAAATCCTTCCTGTAACTTCCCTTCTCAATAATTTATCATAGATCAAAGTTTTTAAAAAGTTCATAAATTTAAACCACAATCAAAGTATTTCTTTTCCTTCAAACATTTTCCAATCTTACAGCCAGCCCAGTATGCAATCTCTTATCTGTTCCTTAGCAACTATCTTCTTAAAGGTTATTAGAGTTCCTGGGAACAGATTTTTTTTCTTTGTTTCTGGGCATTGTCTTTAATGTGCTATATTCTCATTGTCCACTAGATGTCAGCAAATATTTATTTTCCAGCTCTTTCAGCCAAAAAGTTATTATTATTTTTCTTTTTTTATGTAATTCAATCAAAATCCTTTAGAATATAATCTTAGTAGTTTATTTTAGTTTCTAGGTTTGATCAGATTGTAATTTTTTGAATTTAATTTCAATGAGATTCCTTCCTCCTTAAAGGTTAATTTACCGCTTCCGTCTATGGGGGAATGGGAATGTAATCCCCTCCCCTCGTTTTCAGAGGTCGTTTGCTTTGGGGATCTTTCCCAGGGACTAGTTGTAAAATAAGGGAGAAAAGATCAAATATTCTCACCAGTTCCAAGCACGCTGTTCACTGTTGTTCTTGGTAGTGTTCTTGACTTCGGCTACAGTAGCTTGGGCTAGAGATGCTGGCATGAGGCTAGCCTATCTCCTGTCAGGTTTGGAGAGCTTTCCCTGGATCAAACAAAGCGATTGCCATCTCTTTGTGATCAACAGTGCCCCTCCTTTGCGGTCACCTCTATGGGGCGACTTCAGAGTCATCTAGGGTCCTGGCAAGGTGAAATTAGCTGTGGGGAGCGGAGGTCTGCTTTGCGCAGCCATGTGCTACAAGCACAAACCGGAAGTCCTGAAACAGATTCTTTAATACAGCTGATCTTTGATTTTCAAATTTTTCACCCAGAATTATAAAATACTTCAAAATCCATACCTGCTTAAAATCTTTATGCCACACAATTAAATGTTCCTGAATTATAAATTGTTCTCCTTCAATTGCTTTGGGATCCATCTTTCCAATTTTCACTTTATGGTAGGAGTTGTTTGGAAACATGACCACATTTGTAATATCAAATCCAGAAAGCACTTCTCCATGATGGTTGATGGACACAGATTCTCCAAGTGAATTATTAAATGAAAGGCCTTGAAGAAACCAGTGAAGCTAAATTAAAAGATCAGGAAACAAATAAGAGGAAAAAAATCAATGGATAACATCAAGACATTTATATTCCTGAAATTCATATCTAGAGAAATGAAAACGGCATGACTTTTCTATCAGTCAGTTTTAACCAAAACTATCACTGACCCATCTCAGCTTGCAAAATTCACCATTATGGGCTTCCACAAGAGAAACAAATATAAGCCCATTTTACCATATTGATATCATAATGGTTTGTACTGGATACCTACAGTCCACAAACTTAGATTTAAAAGCAAAATAAGACACACCAGGGCTGAGCATGACTTCTGGAGCTGAATGATATCAAAATCCAATCCATGGAAGACTTTATAATGAGATTTGGAATCAAGCATTTTTGTTGCTTATATTGCCATATCACCTAACCTATGAGAGCTATCTTTTGGTAGTGGAAATTGTAGTTTCCTTAAGTTGCAAAGCAGAGGAAAAAATGGGAACTTTATGGACATAGAAATTACTCCAATGGATACATTTCTGGGGTTCCCTCAGATGTTATGGAGAATAAATCTACGCATGCTTCTAGGTAACAGCCCTTCAACTGCTGTTACCAACTTGCCCTTAGCTTTCTCTTCTTTAGGCTAAATGAACTCAGTTCATTTAACTTCATAATATTTAAGCTACACAGCTCTTATAACCTTGTCACTCAATTTTCAACTTTTTCCAGTGCCTCAGGATCCGTCTCATTTTCTAGTGACTAGGACTGGACACATTGCTTTCAAGGTTCAAAATGCTCCTTAGTACAGAGGTCCCCAACCCCTGATCCTACAGATTCTCCTCTAAAAGATTAGCCAAAAAGCCAAGTTTTTTCTTTTCCATAAACAGTTCTTAGATTTAAAAATAGTCCAGGTGTTTTTGTTGTTGTTTTCCTTTTAAATACTTTTTAATCTTATAGCTGGCTCTTCCTTTGTTCCCATCTGTCTTCAAGGTTATTTGTAATTCAAAGGAACAACTTTTTCTTCGTTTCTAGGCACTCTGTCAATTTCTGAGCCCTTATTGTTAGTATTCTATTCTCTGAGTCTCCACTAGATGTCAGCAATTATTTCTTTTTTCAGTTTTTCTGCATGCATCCAGAGTGAGAAGATAGGAGGAAGGGGAGAAGTAAGTAGGAAGGTGGAGGAGAAGGAGGAGAGGGGGAGAGTGAGGAAGAAGAGGGAAAGAGGGAAGTGAGAGAAGAGGTTAGAGGGTGGATGCGGTTTGGGGGGAAATGGGTGAGCAATACCGAAAGTTGTGTGTATAAATTTATTTTACTCTTTATCTGAAGTTAATTTTTATGAATGTAATGTAAAATTGAAAATAAATTTTGTTTTTTAAAAAAAGTTATTTTTGTAATATATTTTTCATAATTCCATCCAAAAAAATTTAGAGTATAATCTTGACAGTTTTTTAGTTCCTAAATTTGTCCAGACTGAAGTATTTTAAATCCAATTTTAATATATTTCTTCCCTCCTTTAATATTAATTCGCTGCTTCCATCTGTAAGGGAACGGGGATATAGTCCTCTCCCTTCACTTCTGCAGGTTTTCTTGCTTTGGGGATCTTTTCAAGGATTTAGATAGTAGATAGAAGAAAGAAGATCCGTACTCTCACCAATTCCATGCACACTATTCACCGATGTTTAGTAATAGTAATAGTAGTAAAGTTGGAAGGGACCTTGGAGGTCATCTAGTCCAATCCCCTGCTCAAGCAGGAAACCCTACATCATTTCGGACAAATGGCTGTCCAGTCTCTTCTTAAAAACTTCCAGTGTTGGAGCATTTACTGCTTCTGGAGGCAGGTTGTTCCACTGATTAATTGTTCTCACTGTCAGGAAGTTTCTCCTTAGTTCTAGGTTGCTTCTCTCCTTGATTAGTTTCCACCCGTTGCTTCTTGTCCTGCCTTCAGGTGCTTTGGAAAATAGTTTGATTCCCTCTTCTTTATGGCAGCCCCTAAGATATTGGGACACTGCTATCATGTCACCCCTCGTCCTTCTCTTCGTTAAACTAGATTTACCCAATTCTAGCAATCGTTCCTTATATGTTTTAGCCTCCAGTCCCCTAATCATCTTTGTTGCTCTTCTCTGTACTCTTTCTAGAGTCTCAACATCTTTTTTACATCGTGGTGACCAAAACTGGATGCAGTATTCCAAGTGTGGCCTTACCAAAGCATTGTAGAGTGGTATTAATACTTCACGTGATCTTGATTCTATCCCTCTGTTAATGCAGCCTAGCACTGTGTTGGCCTTTTTGGCAGCTGCAGCACACTCCAGGACTCCGAGGTCCCTCTCGGAGGTTTAGGTTCATGCTCTGGGACTTCGGCTGCAAGCAGCTTGGGTTAGACGCTGATCTCACACTAGCCTTTCTCCTGTCGGGTTCAGAGGGCTTTTCCCAGATCAAACGAAGCGATTGCCATCGCTTTGTGATCAACGGGGCGCCCCTCCTTCACGGTCACCACTCCGGGGCAACTTCAGACCATCTAGGTTTCCCCAAACAAGAAGAAACTAGCCATGGGGAATGGAGGTCGCTCTCATGTGGCCATGCACTGCGGGTGCAAAACTGGAAGTCTACTACCCTCTCCTATTGATATCTTATGATTATATTACTTTGTTGTTTGTTTGTACACTGAGAGCTTATGCACCAGAGACAAATTCCTTTTGTGTCCAATCACACCCTGGCCAATAAAGAATATTCTAGTCCAGTCCAGCCCAGCCCAGCCCAGCCCAGCCCAGCCCAGCCCAGCCCAGCCCAGCCCAGCCCAGCCCAGCCTAGCCTAGCCTAGCCTAATCTAGTCTAGTCTAGTCTAGTCTAGTCTAGTCTAGTCTAGTCTAGTCTAGTCTAGTCTAGTCTAGTCTAGTCCAGTCTATTATTCTACTTTCATGCTGACAATGAAAGTCTTTGATTCACAAGTTATTACCTTCCAAGTGTCTTGATCTTGAAGTTCATCCCTTCTACTTTCTGCTACTCTTTTGTATTTAGACCTAAGTAAGTTCACACCATGAACAGCATGTGCCACAGCATAGACTGCATTGTAGATACTGTAGCTGTGGCCACTCATTTCAAATAAATGCCCAGGAAGGTTTTTTAGCTCTTCACTCCCAGTACATGCTTCATCACTGTCCATTGGTTTATTATTCCCCATAAAGGAGCAATCAAAGCCTTGCTCCCAGAATTCTTTGAACAAACTATCTCGTTGGGTCTGGAATGGTTTGATGGCCTGAAGGAATTTATCAAACCCTGGCAGTTCATTGGAGTGGATAGCAAAAGAAATTGCTCCATTGAACAATTGTAGGTCTGAGGGGCGATGAAGGCTTGTTAATGTTAAATCCATTTGAGCTGTGAGAATCCACATTTTTCCCAATATTTTCAAAGAATATGTATATTTAAGGAACATAAACAAAAGCATTGCTGTAGTGCTTTCCCCATAGAAGATAAATGTATTGATTTTGATGTCCACCAAATAAATATTTATCCTATCCACAATTTTATTTTGAAACACATGAAAAAAGGCTTGGTTGGGCATTCTCTCCACAAAGGCAAAGCAGATCCTGTTCTCTGAAAGAAGTGGATCCAAGGCTTGGAGGAAATTATCTCCGCTCTCATCATCCAGAATTAAAAGGCCAATCCATGTCCATCCAAAGTGTTTTAGCAAAAAGATTATTGCCACAATCTGAAGGCTTTCATTGGGAGCCATGCAGTAGAAGGACGCATCCATCTTTGTCCCATGCTTCTTTGGAGCAAAAGAGCCATAGGCAAGCTAAAATACAAGGTACACTTGGTTCTTATGGTTGGCATGCCTCAACTAACCTGAAAAATATATTTTCTTAATGACCATGCAAATACATGCATTTTTCCAAACTCTTTTCTTGCATGGATTCCATTTTCAATTTTAAATAAAGCTTTGACCATTACCTTATTTATTTCTTTATTAGGTTCAGTCAACAGGAGATAGTGCTCTAGGCAAACCCATAGATTTGACTGAGACAGGGTGAGGGACCCAGTAGCTTCCATGGTCCAGGAAGAATTTACACCAAGATCAGGACTGTAAGTTCTCACCTTCTGCAACGTGATGCATCAAATACGGCTCCATTCTAATGCCCAATTTTCATCAAGATTTTTTATGCATCCTTCAAGTAGAATCGAATCCCTACTTGATAAATGATTATTTCCAATTCCCTACAATTTTGCCCTAGGAATAAATTTTTATACGTGTCAATACATACATCTTACCTGTGGGATTTTATAAAGGCTTATGATATTTGACATGAAGAATGAAATATCAGCACCAAATCCCCCAATAATGGCCACAAGGAGATTCTCCTTGATATCACATCTGTAGTTGATAACCAACTGATCAGATCGGAAGAGCAGCTCCAAAGTGGAACGGTAAGTCAGCCAGGCGTCAAAATAGTTATCACAGATGAAAAATCCCAGGGTAACGTTAGACAAGAATGTTGGGTTTGAGTTGATCTGTTTCACACCAAATGCCAAACTCAGGGAATGCTGATACAACTTTAAAATGGCTCTGACAACATAATTGCAGATAAGTGAAATTAAACTGATTGAGGCAAGAAGAATATATTCAGTGAAGCAATAGTAAAAATACAAAATTTGCGAATTGTGATAGACAGTCAATACTGTATAAAAACCAATGAGAAACATTTCGTGCATCGTGAGACAAAGGTCTACAATTGGACTAGCTTGTGAGAAAATATGCTGTGCAATTTCATTGCAGAGCTAGAAAGCAGGCAGATGGTGACTATTTTTATTATCAATGCAAGGTCCAGTTGAAGCCTGAGGGAATACTTTGAGTTCATTCTCACAGTGCATTATTTATTCCTGTTAAATCTCAATCAATCAGAATAGAGCTGGAAGGGACTTATAAAAGTCTTTAATATATAAATAAAATATACAAACCCATACAGTACCTTAGATTGGCCCTGCTGATTAGAGTTTCTTCTATTTAAGGAGAACTCTTCGGATCTAAACTGTCCCAATGGGAATTTAGAATATATTGATTCCAGGATTTGATACTACAATAGATTTCCATCAAAAAATCTCATATTTGAAGACTAGATAGGGAAGTCAACATTTATCCTAGATTAGGGCAGTGGTGTACTACTTTTGTAAAGATACCAACTAATTTCTATGAATGATGCTTTATCTTTTGTGTTCTCCAATGTGGTATCTTTTTTAAGGGTTGGGATTGTACCTCCTTTGTTCACACTGGAAATCTCAGAACAGCTCATTACATTCAATATTAAATGAGAAGATATGTATAGAAAGCAATTCTCTGCAAACTTGCATAGATTTTCCAAGATGCAGGGTGACATCTGCAGGTTCTTGGAAATTACAAAAGTGATTCATTTAGAGTGTGTAATTGGCAAGTTTTGATGCGGACAATGGTCATAGTGAGATTTGAGTACAAGGAAGGGACTGGTGATTCCATGGGGAAAATGTGATGAACCACTAGCCAAAAGGTAGTGCTTTATACTTGCAGTAGAGGTCAACATGAATTTCATGGAAGGTTTTCCATAATTTTATGCAACAGCTGATTTAGCAAACAGCCTGTCACTATCGTTTCCTAACCCCCCACATAAGTTATCTAATACTCTGAAATGTAGTCATCAACAGAGACCCTTGTGAACTATTGTATTACTGTATAATATTCTATGAATCAGTCAAATTGATCCACCGTAGCAAGTGTGATAATAAAATTGGGGGGTCTTAAAGAACTCAAACACTTTGAAGATCTGACTGCAACATTGTCTATGCTTTCAAACTTCTTATTACAAATACAGCTGGTAAAATAGTGAGTGTGAAACCTTACAATATTTCCTGCTTAAATTATAAAAACAGTCAGGAATGGATGGAAGATAGATAGATAGATAGATAGATAGATAGATAGATAGATAGATAGATAGATAGATAGATAGATAGATAGATACAGTAGATACATAGATAGATACATAGACAGACAGACAGATTAGATTTTTGCAGTCTCCAACAATATGTGGAGAAAACGGAAAAGGAAAAGACAATTACTTACAGAGGAGGCATAATTGACTTCTGTGAAGGATGCTCCTCAAAGGATAGTTCCTCAAACACATATACAACCTGAGCTGTGATCCCACCAATGAGGAGGTTTCCTGGCTTATACCATTCATGATGGATAGGAGAGGGATCACTTCTGGGGCATGTTATGGCATGTGTCTGACACTTCAGGTCAAGCAACCACAGTATGATCACTACCTTCAGCATTTTCTCTAGAGGAGACTTTCTTGTGCCTCTCCACAGTCCCACTATTGCACATGCTGAGTAATTCTTTTCCATCAACAGCAAAATCTAGGAAGACATTCGACTAAAGCTCATAATGATATCAATTTTCTCATCCAATGGGTTGACGTCAACAAGGATAATGTAGCAAAGCCTGTTCTGATGGACGAGGAAATTCCAATCAATGGAAATCACCAGCACAACTCAAAGGGACCATATCTTGCCTTTCACTTTTTGCGCAACTGGATATGTGAAAGATCTTATAACCTTTTCCAGACTTTTGAATTATTTCTCAATATTTTGGGGAAAGCTTGTGTCATTAACAATTAAGTCATTTAGCTTAATTGTCAATAGTCACTTCTGCCAAATGGAACCTCCTGGGGTAGAGCTATTATTTTGTTTTCAATAACGTAACAGATAAATCAATTATGTTTTTGATTGATGGTTTATATCTTACTTTTATTATTTTTACAAATAATTCAAGGCAGTGAACCTATCCAACACATGTCAATGGAGATTCCCAGTCATCCAGGTCATGGTTATCCCAAAGGTGAAAACAAGAAAAACAAGAAAGTTGGATTTCCCCCTGAAAAAAAGCACCTTGGGATATCCAACACACTTTCTTCCTCCTATTTTCCCTGCAACAACAACCACGTGGGGGGGGGGGTTGGACATGAGAGAGAATGGTCCAAAGTCACCCAGCTGGTCATGGGATTCATCCCAAACCAAATATTTACGGTTGAAATTTATTTATTTATTTATTTATGAGACTTATATACCGCTTTAAGTGCAAGCACTCTCTAAGCGGTGTACACCAGTAAGCAATGTATATATATATATATATATATTTACATTGCCCCCAACCATCTGGGTCCTCATTTGACCTACCCCGGAAGGATGGAAGGCTGAGTCAACCTTGAGCCGGTGAGATTTGAACCGCTGACCTGCTGAACACAGTCAGCTAAAGTGGCCTGCAGTACTGCACTCTAACTGGTGCGCCACCTCGGCTCAATCTCTATGTTCTCCAAATATAAGTCTGTAGACAACCATTGAGCACAATATACCTCAAAGAAGTCACTAAAGATAATGGTCTAGGGATATATATTTATTTATTTATTTACCTTTTTTTATGGTGCCCATCAGCCCTTTAAGAGAACTCTGGGCAGCTTCCTTATTATTTATTCTTCTTCTTTTTGTAAAGATATTGATATGAACTGTAAACTTGGTCCATGAATAATACTTGCTTGTCCTGGTTGGCCCTTCATTTGGCTTTTTTTGTACACCTATTCCAGCTTTCCTCTAAGGAGTTGAAAGAGCTTTCATGGTGCTCTCCCTTTGTATGAATTCTATTAAATCACCCAATAAGCCTTAAAGTGAACTTGAACCTATATTTCCTTGCTCCTAGTTAGACTTAGGAAATCATGAATAATCCGATAGCTCCCACATGCCCTAGAAAAATACATTCATCTATCCCAGTGGTTCTCAACCTATGGGTCACGACCCCATTTGGGGTTGATCGACCATTTTTCAGGGGTCGCCAAAGAAGGCGATCCGCCATTTTCTCCCCTCAGGGGGCGGTGCCGTGCATGCGCGCCGCGCATGGGGGCAGCGCCGCGCATGCGCAGAACATTTGTGTGACGGGGGTCACCGTCACACAAACGTTGAGAACCACTGATCTATCCAATTGTTTTGTTCCTCAGTTAGATATTGATTCTTAAACATTCATTGAAGGTCTGCTGTATTTTCCCAGATAACCTACAAATACTTTCCAGTGAACTTTCTTTCTAAAGATAAAATATTGCATGTAAGAAATCTGATGCTTTTAACAGTAATTGAGTTGACTTTTATAGTTGTGTGGGATTTTCTTTACCTGGGATTCTCTACTTCACCTTTTTTGTATTGGATGAGTTTTGTAGCAGGCCATAAAAACAGACTGATGTTGTGGTCACTTGTGGTAGAAAACATGAGGCTACCAAGGTTTCTGTCGTGGAATTGCCAGCTTTGCTAAAGGAAGGGGTTAAGGGAGGAATGAGCCTGGAGTCATTACACAACTTAAACTGTATGTCAGACTTGCTGCAACTTAATCCTAATGGTAGAAGGTGTTGAAACCACAGGAACCTTGGGGGGAGTGACCATGCAATATTGGAATTCAACATTATGCAAGCACAAGCAATAGAACATGGTCAAATTAGAGTCTTGGAGCTAAGAGAGCTAATTTCAACAACCCTAGGAAAAACAACTCAAGAAGGTTGGGAAATTTTGAAAAGTGAGATTATAAAAGCCCAGTCTAGCACAAAACCAACAAAGAAGAAAAATAACAACTCTTTAAAAAAAACCAACATGATTGCATAAAGCCCTCTCTGATAAGTTGAAAGACAAAAAGGACAAGTATAAAAAGTGGAAAGAGGGGCAAATAACTAAGGCAAAATATCAGCAAATAGTCTGAGCCTGCAAAGATGAAATGAGGAAAGCTAAGGCTCAAAATGAAATAAGGCTTGCAACAAAAGTCAAGAATAACAAAAAAAGCTTCTTTCAATATGTAAAAAACAAGAAAAAAGTTAAGGAAATGATTGGTCCATTAGTGGGAGAAAGTGGCAAGAAGGTGACAACAGGGAGAAAGCAGAACTACTCAACTCGTTTTTTGCATCCGTATTTATACAAAGAGGGAAAAACAGTCCAACCTATCAAAAACAGTACCAAAAAAACACATTAGAAACACAAGTTAAGATAGGCAAGAAAATGGTAAGTGAGCACCTGTCCACCCTAGATGAGTTCAAGTCACCTGGACCATATGGCTTATATCCCAATGTTCTCAAGGAACTGGCAGATGTGATCTCAGAACTACTGAACTATACATTTCAAAGATCCTGGAGCACTGGGGAACTACCAGAGGACTGGAAAAGAGCTGAAGTAGTTCCCATCTTCAAAAAAGGAGAAAAAAAATGGACCCAGGAAACTACAGACCTATCAGCCTGACCTCAATACTTGGGAAGGTTCTGGAAAAGATAATCAAGCAATGAATCAGGGAACACCTAGAGGCAAGCGAAGTCATTACCAAAAACCAACATGGGTTTCTCAAAAACAGATCATGCCAGACAAATCTTATTATATTCTTTGACCAAGTGACAAAATTAGTGGACCAGAGGAATGCTGTGGATATAATTTACTTGGACTTCAGTAAGGCATTTGATAAAGTAGATCACAACCTACTACTTGATAAGATAGAAAAATGGGGGTTAGACAGCATCAACACCAGATGGATTCACAGCTGGCTGATCAGCCATACTCAACATGTGGTCCTCAGTGGAACTGCATCTACATGAAGGGAAGTGTGTAGTGGGGTACCCCAGGGCTCTGTTTTGGGCCCAGTGCTCTTCAACATCTTCATCAATTATTTGGATGAAGGGATAGATGGGGAATTCATCAAATTTGCAGATAACACCAAGCTGGCAGGAATAGCCAACACTTCAGAAGACAGGCTTAGGATACAGACGGATATTGACAGACTTGAACATTGTGTGCTATCTAACAAAATGAAATTCAATGGTAAAAAAAGTAAGGTTCTACATTTAGGCAAGAAAAAACAAATGCACGGGTATAGTATAGATGGTACCTTGCTCAATACTAGCAACTGTGAGAGGGATCTTAGAGTCCTAGTGGACAATCACCTAAATAGGAGCCAGCCGTGTGCTGCAGCTGCCAAAAAAGCCAACACAGTGCTGGGCTGCATTAACAGAGGGATAGAATCAAGATTACGTGAAGTGTTAATACCATTTACAACGCCTTTGGAATATTGCATCCAGTTTTGGTCACCACGATGTAAAAAAGATGTTGAGACTCTAGAAAGAGTACAGAGAAGAGGATTAGGGGACTGGAGGCTAAAACATATAAGGAACGGTTGCTGGAATTGGGTATGTCTAGTTTAATGAAGAGAGGGATGAGGGGTGACATGATAGCAGTGTTCTAATATCTCAGGGGCTGCCACAAAGAAGAGGGAGTCAAGCTATTCTCCAAAGCACCTGAAGGCAGGACAAGACGCAACGGATGGAAACAAATCAAGGAGAGAAGCAACTTGGAACTAAGGAGGAATCTACAGACAGTTAGAACAATTAACCAGTGGAACAACCTGCCTCCAGAATCTGTGAATGCTCCAACAGTGGAAGTTTTGAAGAAGAGACTGGACAGCCATTTGTCTGAAATGGTATAGGGTTTCCTGCCTGAGCAGGGGGTTGAACTTTATGACCTCCAAGGTCCCTTCCAACTTTATTATTATTATTATACTTTTATTCATTAAACATGAACCTCAGTCAACTGAACATTCAAATTGGCTGGCGCTACCAGCATCCTAGGTGTCAACCAGGTATCTCCTTAAAATATAAGATGTTCTGAGTAGCGCAGTTTTTTGTAACATTGCTGGAATTATTGCAGGAAGCTGCAGTTTCTTGATGTGTTTTGCAAAGTTTTTGGACATAGTTCTCAGTGCCCTGATGACAATGGGTACCACTGTTACACGTTTCATCCATAATCGCACAGTTTCGATGGCCAGGTCGCGATATTTCGTAATTTTTTCCAGTTCTTTTTCTTTGACTCTGGCATCTCCAGAGTGATATCGGTCAGTGATATTAATCAGCTATATGCTTCAGTTCTCTACAACTGCCATATCTGGCGTATTGTGTTCCAAATGGCGATCTGTCTGTATTTGAAAGTCCCACAAGATCTTCAACGTCTCATTCTCAACAACTTTTTCCACCCTATCTTAAGCCTGTCTTCTGGAGTGTTGGCTATTCCTGCCAGCTTGGTATCGTCTGCCAAATTTGATGAGTTCCCCATCTATCCTCTCATCCAAATCGTTGATGAAGATGTTGAAGAGCACTGGGCCCAGAACAGAGCCCTGGAGCACCCCACTGCACACTTCCCTCCATGTAGATGCAGTTCCATTGAGGACCACATGCTGAGTACAGCCGGTCAGCCAGCTACGGATCCATCTGCTGGTGATGCTGTCTAACCCACATTTTTCTATCTTCTATCTTCTTTCTCAAGATAAAATATTTCACATAACAAATTTTTAACATCTCTCATCTGACAATTCCCATACAACAGACTAAGATCTTAAGTTAAAACCTGTTGGTGATAAGACCCAACAGAAAGAGGTCCATCATTTCTCAAAGACTTCCTTTATAGAGGTCAGTTGTCTAAATATTTTGCTATAATCTTCGTTTCCCTCAGTCTATTTTTATTCTTCTTATTCATAAGCCTGATTTGTTAGTGATCATGGTTTTCAACATTGCTTGGATGTCTTTTATTTTATTTATTTTTAAGAGATTTGCAACTTTTTTCCAGAGAGCATTAACTAGTGAAAGCCATGAGAACAGAGACTCATGAGGATTCTTTTTTGACTTCTGGTTTTACACATGAGGTAGAGCCCATAATTCTGTTCCTTTATGATGCAATCTGGGAAATTCCTAGGATCCTGCTTGGAAGCACAACCAGCCATTTGTTTAGAGGATGTTGCCCTGTTTGCAAGGTGTCCTTGAATTTCTTTGGCAGTAATGGAGTTGACTTTTTATAGTTGTTTGTTTGGGGTTTTGTTTACCTGGATTCTCTACTTCACCTTTTTTGTATTGGATGAGTTTTGTAACAGGTTCTGGAATCCTTGTATCTATTCCTGTGGTTTCTCTGAAATATCCCCCCAATTTACACCTGCAGCTAAAAAGGTAACTATTATTTTATACAATGTACCAGAGTTTTTAATGGGCCCATAAAGTCAGCGCAAAAATAAATCAGCTTAACTGAAAACAGGATAGAAGAATTTGTGTAACTTGTGAATGCAGAATGCTTTGTTCCTTCCAGGTTGGGGAAGCTCTTAGTCAATGCTCCAGGCAAAAACACATGGACTACATGACACATATGTGAAACCTTCTGTCAGATAGGCTCACAATTTAAGAAAAATGGAGAACAAATTAATGGCAAATTCACTATTGATTAATATTCACTAGTGAATATAGAAGTTCTTTAATTTTCCTAAAAATACACATAAGGCTGATAATCAACATATTGCTAGAAACATAAAATGTGTTTCACTGGGTCAAAGCTTTCTGGTATTTAGAGTAACCTCACTGGAATCTTTGAAAGTCATGATTAATTTCTTTGAAATCAAGAGCTTCCACTAAGTAAGACCCAATTTGGCAATCACACTCTTTTTGCTGTTTTTTTCCCCCTTTGGATCAGATTGTTATTCGTTCTGAATTCTAAATAATTCTACACAATCTGACAAAAAAATAACAAAATACCAGAAGTTGGAAGGGACTTTGGAAGTCTTCTAGTCCAACCCCTGCTCAAGCAGGAAAGCCTATAACATTTCAGACAAATGGTTGTCTAATCTCTTCTTAAAAATCTCCAGTGTTGGATCACCCCAACTTCTGGAGTAGAGTAGAAGTAGAGATGGAAACAAAGTGGTTTGTCTGTAATTTTGAGTTACTCTTGAGATTATCATAAGAAAGCAGAAAATTGGAGAGGGGGGATTTGCACTGTTGACCTTAGGTAATAGATTCTGGATTCCTGTTTAAATGTGTGATGATGTGAATCTATGTATGATGACATTATAACACAAATAATACGACTTACATTCTTGTATCAAAGATAAGAGAAGCATTAGCACAATATTTCCATGAATGTGTAATTTCTTCTGGGTCATCATAGTGTATGAAGATACTGCCTGTGATTTGTGAAAGTGTTATGAACCTGAGACAAATGGAAGGAATGAGTTGGTGATGCTAAGAATTATAAAAGGGCCCGAACAGTTCTTGATAAATAATTCTAGCAAGGAGATAAGAAGGTCCCACAATGTGCATCTGCTAAAAGTAAAGCTTGGAACCAGAAGATGAATACTATGATTGACTGATGTTAGACTGCCATGGAATCATTTATTGATTTATTTATTTATTTATGAGACTTACTGTACACCAGTAAGCAATGTGTGTGTGTGTGTGTGTGTGTGTGTGTGTGTGTGTGTAAGCATGTGTGTATTATATATATATATATAGACATTAGCCCCCCCAACAATCTGGGTCCTCATTGTACCTAAGCTCTGGAAGTATGGAAGGCCTGAGTCACCTTGCAAGCCGGAGTGAGATTTGAACCACATGACCTAGACTGAACACTAGTCAGCCTAATAGTGCGACCTGCCAGTACTGCCACTACTTAACTGTTTTCCTGCCCCGCCACTCTCGGACCACTCATTTGTCAGATTCATATAGCTTTAGGTTGTCCTTGGATGAGCTGCATGCAGGAAGCCTGCCAGGTGGATCTGACGATGAGATGGTAAGGTGGAGAAGAGGGACCAAATGGCCATCATGATATTATGGAGCAAATACATGCATCAGGTAACAGAACATAAGCACATCAGTATAAGACTTGTATCACAATGTCACCATGTATACCAGAAGGTCATCTCAGCTTGTACCTCATTACTTTTATGTCATTCATTATTTTCTTGACAACTTCACATCTCTGTCTTCTTTGCCCTCCATAGCTGATGCACCAAAGAACAGCAGAGAGGCAGCAGAAGAATACACAAAGGAAAAAAGGTAGCAATCCCTCCACTCCATACTCAATGTTACAATATCAATAGCACTTAGACTTATACACTGCTTCACAGCGTTTTATAGCCCTCTCTAAGCAGTTTACAAAGTCAGCCAACAATTGGTGTCCTGATTTTACTGACCTCAGAAGGATGAAAGGCTGAGTCAGCCTTGAGCTGGTCAGGATCGAACTTCTGGAAGTGGGCAGAGTTAGCCTGCAATACTGCATTCTAACCACTGCGCCACCACAGCTCTTATACAATATCTACCTTTATGCAAAAGATGCCCCATTCGGTTTCCAGCATTTCCATTGCAAAAGCACTGCAACAGGAGAGGCCTCTTCTAATCCTATGAGCTACATTAGTAGTCAAAGTGAGCAATGTGGTCAGAAAGCATTTGTCTTAGCCAGCCTAATGCACAGTGTCCCAAAGGTGCTTCTTCCAAAGGCAACAGGATTTTCTCATCCAAGAAGCTTCTTCGGTTCTCACTGAATGGTGGAGAATTCAATCACAGCTGGAGAAGCTTCTTGGATGAGAAGCAAAATGTCTTCAAGGAAAAACAAAGAAAGTCCAGTTGCTTTTGGAAAAAGCACCTTTGGGATCACCATGGATGACTGAGAATCTCCATAGAGATTCTTCCATAAGTGGATTAAGATTGCAATAAATCCATGTAGTTTATATCAGTATTGTCGAAGTCATATGTACATAAGCAGAGTCACCAGGCAAAGGAAAACAAGACAGAGAGAACCCAAAGATAAACCAAGTCAGATCCAAATAAAAACATCTTGGCACTTAAGAATTCTAAGGTAAACATCCATGGAAACTTTTCACAATCCAACAATTTAGGTGGAACCAGGTTCTTCTCTAAAAACAGCAGTCTTAGGCTCCACCTAAGGAAGTCTTCATCAGACCTGAATTCTTTGAGCAGATCCTTCTTTCTCTATTTGGCCTTTAATATCTCTTTTTCAGAGATTACAGCTCTTAAGGGTTGAGTGGAAGAGGTTCTGAGTCTAGTTTGAGTTTAATCCTGATGGGGCTTAAAGTTAACGCAGACTTCCATTCTTCCAATGTCAGTAAAATCAGGATCCAGATTGCTGGGGGCAATATGCTGACATTGTAAATCACCCAAAGAGTGCTGTAAAGCATTATGGGGCAGTATATAAGTCTAAATACTATTGCTATCACTAGAAGGAAAGCTTTTGCTGCTGCAGCATCAATCCTTTGGAATATCATCTCCTCAGACGTCCAACTGCCTTGTGAAAAGTTCTAAAGACTTATCTCTATCAATGTGACTGGGGATCTGGGCAAGAGTTTGAAACCTGCTAGATGACTATGTTGGTAGACGCCTGAGTTTTTGGTTTTAATTAGGTTTTAAAGGGGCTATTTGTTTATCATTGTTATTGACCTTTGCACTTTATTCATTGGTCCTTTATTCATTGATTGCTTAGCTGTAGGGGCCATCCATGAGATGAGCAGCTATACAAACTGAAAAAATAAACAAACAACAAATGGAGAATCAGTGTTGCTCTCTGAGCTTGTTTGTTTTCTTGAAGATATTTCATTACCCAACAGGTTACATTATCACTACTCTGATGATGTTTCTTGCTTGAGCAGGAATTCAGACAAATGGCTGTCCAGTCTCTTCTTAAAAATTTCTAGTGATGGAGCACCCACAACACCTGGAGGCAAGCCATTCCACTGATTAATTGTTCTCACCGTTAGGAAATTTCTCCTTAGTTCCAGGTTGCTTCTCTCCTTGGTTAGTTTCCATCCGTTGCTTCTTGTCCTGCCTTCAGGTGCTTTGGAGAAAAGGTTGATTTCCCTCTTCTTAGACATTGGAAGACTGCTATTTTGTCACCCCTAGTCCTTTTTTTCATTAAACAAGACATACCCAATTCCTGCAATCGTTCTTTGTACGTTTTAGCCGGCAGTCCTCTAATCATCTTTGTTGCTTTTTGTTTTTACTTTTTTTTCTTTATCAAGCAACTCTGGGTGACTATGGATGTTTGGTTTCCTGGGAAAACCTACAATGCATGCAGGTCTCCCTAGCTAGTAATATATTTATGAAGAATCAGCTAAGAAACAGCAAATGATAACGTGTTTTAATGATATGAGAGCCAATTCTGGTTTATCAGGTCTTCTTTCTCCTTGCAGATATCAAGCAGCAAGTATTTGCCCAAACCCAAGATGGCATTCATCCAGACACTTATGGAAGTTCTGTCCGTCAACTGTTGTGTGATGATGCAGACTGTATGGTGTGTGGGCGTGCTGCTCAGGAAGCCCAGGCATTTATCTACACCTGGGGGACAAAGCAGGATAGACTGAAAGACTCAAGGAGCCCGGAGCCTCCTGTGTCTTGCAAGAAATATTCTGTCCCACCTTGTGGCTCTCTCGTTAAAGGCCCTGATTCAGTTCCGCGGAGTGCCAGTGAACCTACACCATTATTTAAACATACTCTTCCTGACCAAAAGACACCTGCTTTATCAAGCTCACAGTTGTTGCCAATGGATGACGAAGGTAAAGCATCTTCCACTCCACACCATGGAGTTCCCTATGACTGGAAAGAAGGCAGCAAGCTTTCTGTCAATGAGGATATTCTGAAGGAAGACTCCTTCAGGTCAATGTCATTCACACCTAGCGCTTCTAGCCATTGCTCAAATTCCTCTTTCAGCTTTTCTGAGATCTCATCTACCAGCTTGAAGGTGCACACATCAACTAAGCAGGTCAAGAAGTACTATTCCAAAGTACATCACAAAATCTACAAAGACTCACCCCAGATTTCCTCAGGAAAGGCTATCACAGGGATTGAACTCAAGAAAAGATCTAGTAGAAAGACCCAATCCATACCAGAGCCGGCTAAGACCAGCAAGACAGGCTCAGCTGGATTCAGTGGCATGCCCATTTCTTTTATGGATAAAACCATGCTGGCAAGCTTGGAATCTCACATGATGACAAAAAGAATGCACCATCTCATAGGATTGCCATTAGCCCTCTTGAGGTCCTTCAAAAAGTTCATGCCTTCTGCTCCAGACTCCCCTACTCAGAAGCACAAGAAGAAAGTTATGGTGGTTACAAGGCCTCAGATCCTTTCCTTTATGGCCACAGGTATCAGGAAAGAGCTAGAGAGACACTTAAAGAAAATGGTTCAGCAAAAACGTTGGCAGCTACCCCAGAAGGTACAAGATGCCCTCAAGCACATTAAATCTTACTCTCAATCAAGGACAGAGAAGTTTTCTTCAGCAGGCTGGCGACATAAGCACAAGGACATAGGTCAAATTAAAAGTGCAAGGAGGATAGGAAAACCTATCACAAAGCAATCAGCCACAGTGGCGGTCTTGGACTCCAAAATCACGCCAGCTCTCCAAGAAAAACTACAAGTGCACATTACGAAGAAGTCCCTAGAGATGAGGTTGGAGACTTTTCATTCAATCGTGAGGCTTTCTCAGAAAATAAGTACCACAAAGGCGAGAAATTGGCTTCTGCCTAAACTTATTCCACTTGGTCAGATTCATCCTCAACTGAGGAACAAGCTGGGATTAAGTCTTCGAAAGAAAGCAGATACTGTGGAGATGAATGTTAAGAGTAAATGCATCTACTTCCTATGGGGGCTTCCAACACTTTATATGAAATCCCTGAGCAAGTTTGTCCCTAGTCCTCCTTCTCAACCAATTTCCTTCACTATAGCACACTCCTTGATTGAATTTGGTTTTACAACACCTGCCTTGATGATCTCCAGTGATGGAACGAACTTGGAGACCCATGTTCTGAAAAAGAGACTTCAGCACCAGTGGGGATTGCCTCGCCTGGTGTTCAGGTCCCTGAGAGAGTTCCTTCTACCAGCTCCACCATCACAGGCTCATCTTAAGACCAAATCCTATGATCAGTATGAAGTTCAAATATTCACTGGCTTTAGCCAACTCCTTTTTACCACGTCTGAGGTAAAACAGAAATTAGAGACCCACCTCAGGAGCAAAATCATAGAGAGGCAGTGGGGCTTACCCAAACGAGTATTTGAATCCCTGCAGATGTTTGTTCCACCTGGTTCCATGCTGATCAGGAGTCCCAAAGTAGATGGGAAGTCCTTTGGAAGGGAATTTAAGAAGGGGATACCTTCCACA